CCATCATCCTGAGAAGCGAGAATTTGAACCACGGCGCTTCCGACGGAGAGTCATCGTTGTTGCATTTGCAGGCTTGGTGTAATGGCAATGAAATTGAAATCATACTTAGGAGAATGCTCCTCCAGCCCGCTGCTCAATCCTGGATCCTGATGAAATGAAATGATCCAGATGAGAGAATCTCGAATGAGGGTCTTCGGAGCACTGATGATGTGACCTAGTTTGGGTGATGGAACATCTGCAAGAAAACCACCTCGTCCGAGCTTTTCCCAGCCCCCAGCACTGGCCCATGTTCCTCCCCAACCTCCTCTCTGTCCGACTCCGCTGCCAGTTCCGCTGGCCGCTGGCGACTCCATCCTTGGCGTGTCATCCCAAAGCATCTTTTGAAACATCTCAACGACGGTGAAAGTTCTTCCTTAATTATACTGGCGACTTTGAAGGATTTTAATATAACTTCGGCCTTGTTGGACTGGAGCAAATAATCCACTCGGCCCTGTTCCAATCAAAACAGATTCTGGACCGTGGAATAAAGGGGCGCTTTCTTTTTTCCTGGTTGGCATGCCGTAGGAAGAACGCGGATTAAACCGTCAAATAATCTGATTTACTAGGAGGACTTCATGTCCTGTTTTTTCCCCTCCCCAATTTTGTTTTAGTTATTATCCTTTTGAGGGAACAGAAGGATATCTTCCCAAGGAAGAAACAGAAATTAAAAAGCCTGTCAGGTGAACAAAATGGCATTGCAGGAGGAGGAGGAGGAGGAAAAGGGAAAATGGCCAGCCAAAATCCGGCATTGCGCTGCTGCCTAGAAAAACACCATCTGGGATTATTCGATCTGGTTCCTTTTAAGTAATTGGCTCCCTGCCAAGCTAACGTGGGAGAACAGCGCAGAGCGGAGAAACAATCTTTCTCGCCCACCCGCCAAGACGAGACCCCCTTGGAAATTGCAGCCTGGCTAATTTGCAGCCCTGAAAACATCTGACAAGTGAAACATGCAAATGTATGGAGACCAGGGGGGGTAGGGGGTGGGTTCGAAGGAACCCACCTGGGCCAGGGAAGATCTCCCGGAGGATGGGAAGCCAACGATTGGCATTGGGCAAGGCTGCTGTGGTTGATTCTTGATGGGCACAAACTGCACCATCCAGACTTAATAGGGAGAGATTTGGGAGAAAACTGGCCGCTTGCAGGATGCATTGTTTTTGGGCGCAGGGAGAGAGGAGTGCCAAGGCAAGGGGAACCTGAACGGCTTAATGAGAATTTGGGTTGACTGGGATTACTATATGCAGGGAGGAACAAGGGCGTGGCCGGTGGGTAGGTCTCTTGGAAAGCAGCAATTCCCCTTGCAACATTTTTGGGTGTCCCCCACTTGCAAATGTTAGGAGGGGAAAAAGCAGAAGAAGGGAGTGAGGTTTGCAGAGGGGAGGAGGGGAAGAGAACTGTGGGGTCCTTGGTGCTCTCTAAGCTTGGTGGTTTTTCCCTCTTCTTCCCCCCTCTTCCTTTTCACCACAACCCCACTCCCATCTAGCGCTGATGATGTTACCTAGATGGGCAATGAAACTTCTGCAAGGAATCCGCCAACGTCAGAGAGCACCATGGAGCCCTCATTTCAACCCCGAGCTACAAATATTCTTTATTAGAAGCATCTTGTACAGACAACGTTGCAAATTGCCAATTGCTGATGGTCCCAAAACTGGAAGGTGGCCGATACCAATCCAAGGGCAGGCCCCGTTTTTTTGAGTATGGGGGTCATACTGTAGCCTGTCACTTAGGCCATCTCTCATTGGCATCGGTCAGATATCCTCCTTCTCTTTGGACGATGGGAGTCAAAGGACAAAGGGGCAAAGGCCGCTGGCCATCTGACCCAGGAGGCAAATGCTTCCAAGTGAAAACGGGAAGGAGCTGATTGGCACGGCCTCAACGCCATCCTATCAAAGGGCAGCAAACAAACAAACATATTTGAGAATTTGTAGCAGGAACTTGCATTCTTGCAGCACTGTTATATTGGCTCCCTGGGAAGTGGAAGGATGCAAACTCATGTGTTATTAATTTTTATTTTATGCTTATCTCCTGGCCTGCTTTCGGAGAGAATAGACAGCCAGGCAAAATAGCTTCACATTCAGACTTAAAGCTTATTTAGTAAGACAAGTGGTGGTGGGGGGAGAGAAATTGTCCCCCTCAGAACGGGCTCGCAATTTGGGTGTCCTCCTAGACTCACAGCTAAGATTAGAGCAACATCTGACAGCTGTGGCTAGGGGGACCTTTGCACAGGTTCGCCTGGTGCACCAATTGCGACCCTACTTGGATCGGGAGGCTCTCCTCATGGTCACTCATGCCCTTGTCACCTCACGGTTAGATTATTGCAACACGCTCTACATGGGGCTACCCTTAAAAAGTGTTCGGAGACTACAGTTGGTCCAGAACACAGCCGTGCGAGCTGTCATGGGTGCACCTAGGTACACCCACATTACACCAATTCTCCCTGGCTCCCTATTGGTCTCCGGTCACAATTCAAGGTGTTGGTTATTACCTTTAAAGCCCTACATGGCTCGGGGCCAGGCTATCTTCGAGACCGCCTTCTACCGCATAACTCCCAGCGACCGGTAAGATCCCACAGAGTTGGTCTCCTCCGGGTCCCGTCAGCTAAACAATGCCGGCTGGCGGGCCCGTGGGGAAGGGCCTTCTCTGTGGCTGCCCCAGCTCTCTGGAACCAGTTACCTCCTGAGGTCCGGACCGCCCCCACCCTATTGGCCTTCCGGAAAGCGGTGAAGACCTGGCTTTTCCGGCAGGCCTGGTGCCGAGATCTGGCCATGAATGGCGTGAATGGGTTTTAATTGTTTTTAATGTTCTTTTTAATGTTTTTATAATGATTTTTTAAAATGTATTGTGAGCCGCCCTGAGTCTTCGGAGAGGGGCGACATATAAATTGAATTAATTAAATTAAATTGAATTAAATTAAATTAAAGTGCTTTATGTGGTCTGGTGTCCCTCATCCGGTCCTTTTCACAAACAGCCCCTCCTCCAATGGCATTGCCATTAGAGGTCCCTAGCCAGCCCTCTCTTTGGCTCGCATTGGGGTTCTCAACAGGAGGGTCACGCAAATAAAAAGCACATTGGCAAACACGGGAGCAGCCTCCTGCACACAGTGGCACAAGCTGTTGAAGGAATCGCACCATTTTGTAGGACGCAGCCCGCGCAATTTCCTTTGGCAACATTGGCAAAGCCGACTTGGAACGGAGGAAGCAGAATAGAACTGGAAGGGCCCTTGAAGGTCTTCTAGTCCAACCTCCTGCTCAAAGCAGGAGAACCTAAGTGTTCAGCACTATCCTAACCAAGGTTAGCTTTGTTTGTATTTTCTTTGAAGGAAAGAGGGGAGGGAAGAGAGAAAGCCTCATTTCAAAGGAGCGAAAGTCAAATCAAGGCTAGAGGAAACTGTGGGAAGAGGAGAAATACGTTCTCCAGATCTCCAAACGGGAGGCGGCTGACATGGCGTCGAGCCAAGCCAGGGATGGGTGGATCTGATGCCGAGGCTTAAAAGGCTGTCGGGTTTAATTAGGATCTATGCTCGCTCCTCGGCAAAAGGGTAGCTTATAAAAGAAAAAGAAAAATGCTGCAGCAGGGGAAGGCCTGCGGGTTTCAAATGCCCAAACTTCCTACCATTTCAAACGGCGTTTAGAAATTCCAGTGTTATAAAACCAGGGGCAGGGGCAGAAAAAACCAAACCAAACCAAACCACGAGGGAAAGCAAAAGCACCATTGCAAAGATCTCTTGTGCTCCTTTGGTTATGCCGTATGAAAAGACGGAGCCACAGATAATTCCGCCCCCCCCACCCTCCCCTTTGGTATCGTGGGTCTGTCTCGGGAGGCAGCAAGCAGGGTGTTTAAAATAAAGAGAAGCTTGAGATGTTGCTCGGTTTAGTTGATGGCCTCCTTTTCGTTTCAGCAGTTCCAGCCAGCGCCCAGGATGACTTCTTCCCTCAAGATTTGGTACAGACAAATCTGGATTAAAGAAGCTGCTGGAGAACTCTGAACTCCCATTTTTGTTACCCCTGGAGGCAAAAGGGAGGAGCCCAAAAGCTTTGAGGAAGAATAGAATAGAATAGAATAGAATAGAATAGAATAGAATAGAATAGAATAGAATAGAATAGAATAGAATAGAATAGAACAGAGTAGAGTAGAGTAGAAGAGAAAGAAAAATAGAATAGAAAATATGGAATAGAATAGAATAGAATAACAGAGTTGGAAGGGACCTTGGAGGTCTTCTAGTCCAACCTTCTGCTCAGGCAGGAAACCCTATACCAGGGATGGTTAACCTTTTTGGTGCCAAGTGCCCAAAGCGTGCATGTGTGCGTGTGAATGCACGCACGCGTGCCCCAATCCCCAAAATGCAATGTGAGCACCTCCTGCGCCTGCCCATGTTCCCTGAACATGCACCCTAGGCCCCCCCCCACGCATGCAAGCCCCCCCTGGCCCTCGTTTTGGCTTCCAGGTTGGTGCAGGTGGTTTTTCAGGCCCAAAACAGGATGCAGGGGGGCCTCGCGATCTCCAGAGTTTCTCCCCCCAGCACGTCTTAGCTTTCTCCTCCATTCCTGCCATGGAGAGGCACCTGCGGACGGTGGAACCTGCGGAGATCAGGGAAAGCACGGGCAGTAGAAATGCAGGAGAAAGGTAGGGCGCACTGGGGGGGGGGGAACTGCGGAGATCGGGGAAGGCCCCATCCCCGTGCATGCGCGGCAGAGACCCGAAGACCAGCTGGCTGGCAGGAGGCTTGAATCTGAGTTCCATCACTGGTTTGCAGGTTAACAGTCCTGCATTGACTAGCCTGTTCAACAACGAAAAGGTTATTGTGGTGTCTTCCTCAACCAATTCTCACAAGAGCGACAATCTAAGGTTAGGCCTTCTTTTCCTACGTCTGAAGGGGCTCGGGGTCTTCTGCCCTCTTTTCCCCAGCCCCAGTAAATCCTGCTTTTGTTATCAACGAGCACAAAACAACAAGATATACACAGGAGAGCTCTTAAAACTGTATTTTCCCACTCCAATTCAAGGTACATTTTAGCCCTCCGGGAGGTTTTACAAAACAGACACACTCAATTTTGCTTTTCTTAGCAGTTTGGAAACGCCGAGCACACCGACAGCCTATGAGCCACATTTGCCTATTTAACCCATCCAGACACCAGATTGAGCCTTAAATGGGCTTTCTTGAAGACCACTTTTTCCCCCCCCAACATTTATACTGTTGGCACCGATCCTGGGTTGGCACCAGTTTGTTCAACATCTCATCCCTATACAACACAGAAGGACAGGACTGGAAAAAGAGCTGGGGCAGAGCGAGTAGCTCTTTTTAAAACTGCTGTAACGAATGGATTTTGGAAGGGGACGTTTGCGGCAGGCAAGATAGAAATGCCGTGCAGTTTTCGGAGGAAAACGCAGCCACCGAATTAAGGGCAAATGATTAAAAGACAGCGTTGTTGAGGATGGGTGAATGACGAGGTTTTTTTCGAAGAGCACCACTGAAGGAGATTTAAAAAAAAAAAAAAGTTAATGAAGCAAACGAACAGCACCAGAGTGATGGTAGAATGGAAGTTGCTCCTGACCACAAAAGCACAGTCCAAATTGTACCATTTATTGAAAAGGAGGGTTAGACACAAACATCGGTTTTATCTTCTAAGGGAAGACAATTTCCCATAACGCAAGGAAGAAAATCTGGAGTCCCTGCCGTGTGGAAAATAAGTGTAACCTGGAAAAAGAATTTGTCCTTTTCAAAAGCTGGCCTTCTCCATCCATATTTAAAAAAAAAAAAAAAATCAAATCCAAAAAGACCAAAAATTCAACATTCTAGAGGAACTTAAAACTTTACTGTAAAGGTAAAACTACATTTATTGTTGATTTCACTATTGGCGCCCAAGAAATGAATTAATTTCATTTCACCCTCCCTGCAAATCAATTCTCGTTTTCTCCTAGGCTAGTGTTCGTAACCTTGGCAACTTTAAGGATGTCTGGACTTCAACCCCCAGAATTCTCCAGCTAGCAATGCTGCCTTCCTGGAAGGAAATACATGGATGAAGGCGCTTTTGGGAATTTAATACTCTGGTCTATAACTAATACTGCGAATTGGTTCTACCACCTGGAGCCATTGAGAGTAGATTTTAATTGCCCCCCGAAATACGCTATCAAAGAGCTACAGCAAAACAGGTCCAATCTGAAGAGGGTTACAGATTTTGCAACTCATCAACGCCGGCAGAGTGACAGCAAATCTCCTCCTGAGCACAAATGTAGTTTCTTGATTTTTTTTTTTTTTTTAAATTGGAGATTCACCATCTCAACTCCGGGCTTTTGAGCGCTTCCTTTCAGTCTAAAGACACCCCAGAAATCCAGGAATTTCTGAGCGGCAGCAACCCCAGACGGGCAGATTTTGCAATCGGCTGAAAGTCGGCCCCTTAACACTGGCTTTTTTTTTCTGAAACTCAAGCAATCTTATAATAAATAGAGCCAAAGATCTGCCTCTCCCACCGTCCCTCCAGAAATTGCAAAGCGGTAACTAAAATACACTGATTCCCCTCTTCCCCTCTGTCCTCCCCCCCCCACCCCTCAGATTCCAGCAAAAGAAAACACTGATCTCAGCAAAACATCTACAAGCCTTTCCACCCCGGGCCTCTTCCACTTGCCCACGACCAAGCCCCTCTCCAAAAACACACCAACCTGACCTATATAAGCACTGGAGCCTAAAGGCTTGGCAAGTGGGACATCAGGAACCATTCATTAATTATTATTATTTTTTAAAAAAAGCAAAATTAAACACGAGGGGGGTGGGGAGGGGCTGCCACGGTTTTTCTTCTCCGAATCTGCCAATTGGTTCACTTGTTATGGGTGGAGGTGGGGGCGGGTAAGCCAATCCTAAATGCATTCCTGGAGTCATCCTGGATCGGCGACAAACCTACGGAGCCAAAATAATAGGGGAAGGGAACCGAGGGCTGTGAAATGCATTCAGGAGGGCTGGAGATGAGAAGAGAATTTAGAGCAGGGGAAGCTATGGTGGGGACACACCGACTTTAGGGCAGGGCAAAGGGACCGAAGGGTGACCGCTCATCTTCCTCGACCTGCCCGGCGCTTCGTTTGCCCCTTTTCCAGTTCTATATAGCACATAGAGCCGCTCCAGTTACTGTCTTCTGTCTTCGGTCTCTGATCTGGAAAATGCCATCACGCCATCCTCCGCACCTGCGGCACAAAAGGGGGAAAGAAGTTGGCTTCTTTTGTTGAGCACCAACAATGTGGGTAATGTTCTGGATGCCTTGGGGCCCGAGTCTCACAAATCCTCGGCCAACCCTCCTGCAACTGGGAATGCTGGGAACCGTAGTCTTCGTACGCCAGACAAAACGTTATTGCACAAATCTGGGGGAAAGGCGCCCTTCGCACCGCCCGACAGGTCTAAGTAATTTTTAAAAAGCATCTTTAACCCTTCATGCCAAAGTGTGAGTAAATAAAAGACATAGATCTCATGCTTAGCAGGGTAAATGTACTCTCTGTGGCATCTGCTTTGATGCAGCCTGTGCATATGGAGCGAACGTAGGCAGGATAACGGCATAACAGGTCATCCACTTTCTCACAATTATTGTGAGAAGCTCTCTGACAAACCTCCAGGGCATTTTCTCCCTCTAGAACAGGCTTTGTGGAATGACTATGTTGTTCAGTTGTTCAGTTCTAGTCTACCTTGCCCAGACTATGTTTGCATCTCAACTCCGTGCTCCCCAAGGGATCCGGCTTCTGCTAGAACCAACTTAGCTCTATTGCTATAGCAACCAGAGCTGCCAGAGCCACCAAGGTTGGTCCTGCCACTTCGGTGGAAACCATCCAGGATTCCAGCTGCCCAGGGAACCAGCCAGCTTCTCTGCTCGACTCTCCAACCCTCCCTTTCGTTTCGCAAACATTCAGATGTGCCCCAAAGTGCACCAGGCACTCCTAGAGAGAAGCGTAAAGCAGCGTTATTGGAGCAGCTTCTTTTTTACTCCCTCTTTAAACAGGCAGAGAGCTAATGCAAGGAAGATCAAAACAGGCAGAGAAGGAAGGCAGGAAGGCTGCCAGCTCTATGTGTCTATGGATTAACACTTCAGCTCTGCTGTTTGCTACTTCTGAGCCAGGTCAAAAGAGCAAGCCTTAAGGTTCACAGTGACCCTGAGTGGTCAGGATTGCAGTCATTAACATTTATCGCCACTGCCCTTTCAGCATTTCCAGACAAATTGGGAAACTCGACTTAGCAAGCAACCACTGAACTGAACAGAAACCCAAGAGCAGCCACTGCACAGGGCACAGGGAATCTCAAGCAGATCAACGACCAACTGGAGGAAACCAGAAGGAATGCTGACTCTTCAGCACCAGGGGAAAAAGTAGTTTTTTTTCTATCGATTGCACCCGAACCAGCTCTAGTGGAAATAACATTGGGGAATATCCACAGAATAGCAAGCCTATCACAGGTTTGCAAATAGGAGTAATTCTAAATTCCCAGCTCACTTTTGAACAAGTCATAAAATCAATAGTGTGAACCACAGCAATTTGGGTTTTGAAAGTCAGTTTTCTACAGGAGGCAACCTGAGGTTTAAGCAAGAAAGACAACACACATTGTTTAAAAAAACCAGGTGTGTAAATGTGGGAGCACTGTTTTAAAAAACAGTGTGTGCTGCCATCTAGCGGCTAACCTTTCCATTCGGTTGCTGGATTTTAGTCTTCTGGGTCTCTTCTTTCATTGAGGAAATGCAGAATATTATTCACCCCACTAATGAGTATTCTGTATTGCCCATCTACGGATATAATTATTAGTTGGATTAAAACCGTTGAGAAAGAAATGCTACTAGTCCAACATGCGTTAACAGGACAGAGTAATGCACTTCAAACATGCCCGAGCTATCCTTAGGCGAAAAGTAGGTAGTTTTATCATCATCATCTTCTTTTAATGACCCTTGCGGGGTGGAGTCTGGGCAACTGAATGGCGCTGAGTTTTTACTGGCCGGATGCCCTTCCTGTCGCCAATGCGGAGTTTTAATCAGCAGATATATTCTTATCGTGCCCAGAGAGAGAAACATCGGCCTCTTCCCAGCCTCCTGATTGTGAGGTGAGAGCGCCACCTCTAGGCCACCGTACCACCCCGCAAAAAGTAGGTCGTTTGAAATCCATTAAATATATCAGTAGCTATGCTGTGCTTCAGTTTATAGATCCCCAGAGCAGTATATGCAGTAAGTAATAAACATACTAATGGAGAATCCTGGTTTAACATTAAAAGGAGAAAAAAACCCCCATATTATGGGTGGTGCAGGGGAGAGAATGTGACTGCTGTGCTTTTATTATTTTGGTCCTTTCAAAATCGATCAAAGTGTTTCCAAGTTAGACATTTGTAGCAAAAAAAAAAAAGGGTATAAACTGTTACTCACCTTGGTCAATAGAGTGCTGAGGAAGCTGGCTAAGCTGACTATTCACTACTCCTGCATACGTCCGCAGGAACTCCTCTTCACTGCTGGTTAACTGGAAAAGGGCAGAACAAAAACCCCATTAAAAGGCAAGGCAAACTTGCCGGCAGATCAATTATCCGTCCGCTTGCTTTTCAAGTTGGCGGTTTATTTATTGATGTACTTATTTTTATTTATAGCCCATTTTTATAAATAATGCAGAGAACATGCCTCTTTCCTCCTCTTCCTATTTTCCCCACAACAACAACTCTATGAGGTGGGCTGGGCTGAGAGAGATGGGTTGGTCCAAAGTCACCCTGACGTCATGCCGTCAAGTGGGACCAGAACTCACGGTCTCCCAGTTTCTAGCTGGTGCCTTGACCGTTAAGACCAAATGGGCGAAAGAAATCGCACAAGTAGCGTAGGGAATGACCCTCAAGATATTGCAAACAAGTGATCTATAATGATTGGGATTAATACTGCTAATTCCCCAAGTTTTGGGGGGGATTACAGAGTGATCGCCTCGGAAATAATTAAATGGTTCCTCTGGCGGCTTGCAATACACATCAAAATGGTCGTCTGAGAAACTTGGAAGGTAAACCTGGTCAACCGGAAGCTCACGGCATTGATACGTACGTTTGATCCCATCTTTCTAAGCATTAGCAGGACTCTCACTTTCTGCTGAATGTACATCTCCTCCGGACTCTTCCCCGGAACAGCCTCACGGTTCATTCCCTTTTTTCCAGTTTTGAAGACTCCTGAAGAGATGACGAGACAACAGTGTTAATTGTACTGGATTAATCCTGGGGATGGGAGAGAGACTGCAGTGCCAACTGCTAACAACCGTCGGTGTGAGGACTTCTTCACTTCTGTCCAGGGCAAGACATTTTGCCTGGCCTTCAGTTTGGTGGGTTGTCACATTCATGGTGTATGGGAAGAACTTCTGAGCAGAAGTTAAATGGCTACTGGCCAGAGACTTTTAGTAGATCCTGCAATAAGCAGGGGAATGGACTAGATAACCTTTTGGTTCTGCAACCCAACAAGACAGACAGAGACTTCAGAGGATAGTTAGAACTGCAGAAAAAAAACATGGCTACCAACCTGCCTTCCACTGAGGACCTGTACACTGCACGAGTCAAAAAGAGGGCTGGGAAAATATTTACAGACCACTCGCATCCTGGACATCAACTGTTTCAACTCCTACCCTCAAAACGAGGCTATAGAGCACTGCACACCAAGACAACTAGACACAAGAACAGTTTTTCCCCGAACGCCATCTCTCTGCTAAACAAATAATTCCCTCAACACTGTCCAACTATTCACTAAGGCTGTATTACTATTAGTATTAAGCTTCTCATCATTCCTATCACCCCTCTTTCCACTTATGACTGCATGACTGTAACTTTGTTGCTTGTATCCTTACCATTTATATTGATATTGTTTCTAGTATGATTTGATTGCTTATTTGTACCTTATGACTATCATTAAGTGTTGTACCTTATGATTCTTGATGAATGTATCTTGTCTTTTTATGTACACTGAGAGCATATGCACCAAAGACAAATTCCTTGTGTGTCCAATCAATAAAGAATTCAATTAAATACTACCTTTTAAGTTTCCTTCCAGTGTGACTTAAATGATTCCGTAACAGAAATAAGGTCTTTTTTTCATTCTAGTCATTCAAAACAAGTCACACATTTAGGGCTTCCAAGTTATTTGCTTCCCAGCTCCAAAAAGTAACGACAGACTTACCAGAATACTTGACTGTGATCTGTTAGCCTGGAAACGCCACAAACAGCAACCCTGTGAGAACAAAGCAACGATTTTTAATAGACATCCTAAACTAGTTCTAAGTATGTTAAATATCCCGCATTGGTTCAAGTCTTGCCTGGTGAAAAATGCATGTAGTTCTCTATCCCGTGTTTGAACATTAGCTCTAATTACTTTTGTTCTTCTAATGTTAAATTAAATGTTTCAGTTCCTGGAGGAAAACTTCTGTCATCAAAAACAGGAGGACAATTAAAAGAAAAAACAGTTCATTTGTTGGTAATAAAAGTCGTCGAACAGGAAGAAGGGGATGCCTGCTTTAATGAAAGCTGTTTTACACTCAAGGAAACTGTTTTGGTCAGAGTAGCTTCCCAAAGCTGATAAGACACATGGCACGCAATGCTTCTCAACGTGTATGTAAACGCACTGGTAAACCCACAATAATTTTAGCGCCAAGCAAAATGGCATAATTTGTGCAGCCCACATAAGGTGTGTTTCCATTCTCAGCCCAGGCATCCTAGGAGATTAATGCCTTCCTTTCCTGAGGAAGAGCAGTTCCTGAAGTAACAGAAAAAAAGATAACAGAACTTGCTAACTCTGTTTATATAACATGCTTCATCTCACCACCAAACGATACATTTTCAGGGTTCAAACAACATACTGGAACTATAGACAAATCTGCAGGACTGTTGGATATAGACTTGGCCTAATGGTCACAGCTGCAGATATACAATGCAAAAAATCATGGGCAGCCTTGTTGAGATCCACCAGACAAATGAACAAAATCGATGTGATATGGAACTGCTCTAAACCTCAGATGAGGCCTGCTTTTAATGGTGCCATTTCATAGATGCAGAGGGGTGCTCATATACTAAAGCACTTCTCTGAAAGCACACATTTATTATTAATACCATTGCTGTGCCATTCAATTCTCACGACTCCGGATGGTGAGCAAGAATTCCCCGCACAGTTTTAATCCATCCATTTGCATAGGCAAAATGCTTTGATACTTGTTTCCTACAAGGAGGGCTATTTTACAAGTACCGTACAGGCAGCCTGAGGTAGCTAAAAAGTCAGCTACATCAAAGCTACATTAAAATCCTAGACAAAATTAAAACCTCTGTATTAGGTCTCAGCTTCAGAAGGTTTTATGCCTGGCTGAGAGGTTTTTGTCCCAGTACGGATTTTGAGATTTTTCCCTATGGCTAACGCAGATAATCTGATTTTTTTTAAAATTTGTTTATTTCATGCGAAGTCACAAAACGTTTAGCATTGTTAACCATAAAGCAATCCCATGGCTGGGATTTAAGTGACTGGGCTTAATGCATTTGATCAACACCCCCCCCAGCCCCCTATTAAGCTGGCTGTGAAGTAAAACTGCTTCTGCAAAACGACAGGCAGTTCTCAATTTACAACAGTTCATTTAGTGACCACGGCACTGAAAAAAGTGACACGACCATTTTTCACACTTATGACCTTTGTGGCATCCCCATAGCCACAAGTTCGGATGCTTGGCAACTGGCTCATATTGATGACAGATTCTGTGTCCCCAGGTCATGTGATCAGCTTTGGTGACTTTCTGACAAGCAGCCAATGGGGAAGCCAGAATCACTGAACAACGTTACTAACTTAACAACTGCAATGATTCCCTTAGCAACTGTGGCAAGACAGGTCATAAAATGGGGCAAAGCGCACTTAACAAATGTTTCACTTAGCAACATACATTTTGGGCTCAATTGTGGTTGTAAGTCGAGGACTACCTGTACTGCTCCTTCTAGAAATGTTCATGGCGCCAGGAAACCAGAATTCACATCATTTCTTCCACAGACATTTTGCTTTCAAGGAAAGCAACAATCAGATTCAAATGCACCCTTAAAACACAGTAACAAGTAAGCAAGCTATTACCCAGAGAACTTCATCTGTCATTACTGATCAAGTAATGAAGTATTTTTTTTTTCTCCCTCAGCCATCCTTCCTATTGGTTTGAGTGATGGTGTATTATCTTCCTCCTTCCTCATACCACCTTTAAAAAAAATCCCCAGCAAGTGAAGCTTGGGGTTTCAGTTAAAAATTCCAATGAACAGTATGCCCAAGTATCTGGAATTGGATATTTTGAGGGTAATATTGGCTGTGTATCCTGTGGATGGTTATGGTCCTAGAAGCAACCAGCAGTGTTTAAAAAGACAGCTGTACAACAGCTGATCCACTACCAAGGCCTGTGACAATCTGCATAGGCCCGTCTAAGCTAATACAAAAATCGTACACACACACACACGCACAGTGCTGAGTTGTTTTCTCAAGTTATTACCCCAAGATTAAAGAAGATTAAACCTTCACAGGGCCTTTAATAGTTACAATATGCTTATACTTATGAGGGCGTAAGAGCTGCTGCCTTGTTTCACAAGAAAATCTTCCAATAAACACTGGAGCATTGAAATTAGAGCTGCCTTGTCTCCCCTCTCCTCATAGATCCCCCCCCCAATTCATTCAGTCTGATTCATGACCTTGAATGAAGTAGACCGAGACTGAATTAATTCACATTTCTATAGGGGTGCCTGCAATGCAGAATGCATACAGTCGTCCATTTATAAGTGAACAGTGAGATCCGGACGTTTTAAAAATTGCAAGCTTGTTTCCACCATGTTTCCAAGGGCTACTTTAAATTTTAGACAAAGTATGCACAGTTCTCATTAAAATAAAAATAAAAAAATCAAATAAGCAGCAGTTAACCATACTTTTAAAAATGTTTTAAATCCAAAACAGGAAAGTGGTTCATTTCCTGGATATGATCCTGGCGTTTTCATAGCTTCTTTCAAGGAAGGTTTTGACAAATGGTTGAGGGCGATGGTGCAATTAAATTCAAGAACCCCCCTGAGGTCATTTTGTTGGGTCAGCCAGAGACCAGATACCCATGAAGTATTGTTATTATTCTCTTCAGTTCCTTAAATTATATGCAAGCTATTATTTATACAAACAATGACCTACACAAGGCTGCCTCCATTGTGTTCCAGGTCAACCAATTGATGTTTCTAGCCTTCTTAAGGTTAGTATTAATTCTCAATCGAGGTCAGGAACTCAGCTATTAGGGAATCTTGGAATGTTTGTTTAATATGCTCTAAGTATTGTAACAGAATATTGAAAGCTTTGCACAATCAGGGCTCAAAATATAAAACCTCAATATTGTCGTCCTCATTTTCTGAGTCAAATCAATATTCCACCATAATTCCAGATAGGAAAAGTGCAATTTCATTCCACCTTCAGGCTTAAAAGTTGAAGCTGTTGCAGGTAGATAAACCATTCAGCCATCAAAACCGTAGAGAGAGGTGGCATTTCAAGCAAGCTGCGTGGTATTTAACTACTGCTGGATTTTGTCAATAAATATTCCTGGTAATTGTATTTATGTTAGTTTATTATGTACTTTCTTATGCAGCAAGTTATTTTTTTATCCTACATTAACAACAAAAAACAAATTATTTTTAACCACGAGAAAAGCTCATGAAGTATGTCACAGTCCCAGTTATTTCAAAAGTGAAAACTCTTGTTTTTACTAAGAATTGATATGGATAACTGATTCCAAAACAGGCTTCTGAATGTAAAACCAGAATTAATGAGAGACAAGTTAACCTATCTTTGCTCACCTTAATCTATATACAAGCATTATCTGAGTAAGGCCCTGAGGAGTATCTTATCTGAAAAGATTTAGTAATCTAGAAACACAAACACACATCAGAGATAAAAATACCCACGTGCGAGACATTTAATTGTTAAAACTGTAACTCATGCTAATTTTGTCTACAACAAAAATAATTGAATTAATGCAGAGAAATAGGATTTCACAATGAGGGGTGGGTGGGGGAGGGTTTGGGGCAGTGGTAATATTCATATTTCTGCAGGATCCAATCTGGATCGGTCATTGTGACCAGAGGTTTAGTCTTCCGAGCTTTTGGACTCGTGCTGGAGCTCATCCTCAGGGAACTTTTCTCTCTACAGAATATTGGATCATGCAGCATTATTCCTGGACAGGTATATTTGCCTTCATTTGTTAATATTTCTCCCTCTCACAAGCCCCCTGTAATATTTATGTTTGGGTACCTCGGAGTTGCTTTCAAAGGACATTTTAATTACGGCAAGTTGGAAGCTGCTACAGGAATGCCAAAGCTGTATAATGTTCTGCTGTCCCAAAACAACTGGCAACAACTATAGTTGCTCATAAATATGTGACAAATTGCTAATCAAGCCAAAGCCTTTCGGGAAAAGAAATCAGGCATTTGTTGAAAAGAGGGGTTAAACATAAACTCTTAAGGAAATGTTAAAAACAACTACCAGTACTTGATGTCGGTCAGAATTTATTAAATTCCGTTTTGCCTTAACATTTTTATTTGCTGCCAGCTTGTTTCATCTTTCCTGAAATTGTTCCGAAAAAACATATTCCTAATTCTAGACTATTAATGCTTCACGTACAGCATCTTAGTTACTCCAAACCAGCTCCAAGGTTCCTTACAAAACCAGCAGCAATTGCAGTATGTTGACATTATTAAACAAAACAGGAAGCACAAATCAATTTCCCACAAGAGGTTTGTTAAGCTCTGTGGTACAAGCTCTGCCGCTGCCATTTAATACATGGCCAGGAAGGAAATGTGTTATCCACAAGACTAAGGTGTGAGATTCTGAGTTAATCTGCAGACTGCAAGTCTGTGATTCGTTTTATAAAAACTAGGCTGTCACTATCGAAAAAAGTAACAGAATAGGGAAGGAAATGTCCTCAGCAGGATAGAGCTGATTTCCTTTCTAGACAAGGGCCAACTGGGAAGCTTCTTTGCAATAAAAGAGTTAATAGGCCCAAGATAACAAAGTAGCCTGCAACAGAAACAATTGAACAACATATGACCAAGTACCTACTATATTTACAGATTCCCTTCGGAAACTGCCTAATCAAGAGCTTATCTAAAGGCTTAATCAGTGCTCAATTACTGCAGACTCCCTTTACAAAATGAGGAAGTTAGAGTAAAAGGCAGAAGATTAATACAACTATTAAGCTTTGTGCCACAGTCTGCAATTAATCCAGATCCATCCTCAATTTATGCAGGATTAACATACATGCCATTAAACACTTATCACACTGATTTACTTAGATGTGTCTATCAGCCACTTGAATTGTGCGAAGTATTTGAGCAGGGATGGCCATGTGCATACCATGGGTAACTCTTATAAACAGGGTTTATAAACAGTCTAATTGCTAAAAATACTATTATACATTGATAATTCTAATGTTAGGATTTTTAAAGGCTTAGTGTATATTATTGAAATAGATTAATTTTTCAGTTTTTAAGTGGGATATGAATGTATTCTTTAAAACTTCTGACAAGGAGCTTAACTGCCTTGCACATTTCAGAAAAACGTCTCTATGAAATCATTCATTTCTTTTGCCATCCACTATTGCAAAGGATGATGATTTAAGCCTATACTCTGTGACCGAATGTTCTTATAAAACATTATATAAGAACTCCAGCCACCAACTGGCCTGCAAAAATGTTATATAAACACAAATAAATTTGGCATACAACTCCAACAGTGAATGCATTACAGGTAATCTCCGATTTACAACCCGAATTGGGCCCAACATTTCTGTTGTTAAGGGAGACATTTGTTAAGTGAGTTTTGCCCCACTTTACGACCTTTCTTGCCAGAGTTGTTAAGTGAATCACTGCAGTTGTTAAGTTAGTAATGCCATTGTTAAGTGAATCCGGCTTCCACCTTGACTTTTGACTGTCAGCAGGTCGCAAAAGGGGATCACATGATCTCGGAACACAAAAACGGTCATAAACATGAACCAGTTGCCAAGCACCTGAATTTTGATCATGTGACTGTGGGGGTGCTGCAAAAAGGTCGTAACTTTGAAAAATGGCCCCATCACATTTTTCAATGCAGTTGTAACTTTCAACAGACACTGTTGAACAGAACCATTGTAAGTCGAGGACTACCTGTACTCTGGTTACACGACTTGAGTTTCCATGGCCTTTACTGTCTTGCGTAATGTCCCATAGAAGCCTTATTTCAATACATTAAAAAAATAGGACTTTTCTTACAACGTATTAAACAGTTTTGGTCTGTTGTGTGGATGTTTGGATGGTTTAGGGGTGGGGAATTTGTGGTGGGTGGGGGTGTGTTTGGGGATTGTTATGTGTGTTGGACCTGGTTTTTGGGCATTAAGTGAATTTCGTTGTATGGGTATACTGTGTATACACATACAATGACAATAAAGTTATTATTATTATTATTTAACAGTCAAAAGCAAAAAGGGTCAGGAGCGAGTGAGGAGGATTCCTTCCGAGTTTTTAGGTTCAGCACAAACTTCAGGTAATTTAAAACGTGCATCTGAAAATACAGCCAAGTGACAACACGCACAAAGCTAAAACCTAAAACAACACTCGGGATGATGGGAGTGGCAGATACTGTAATCAGCTCAGGCTATTGTTCTTCCAGTTTAGAACTGTTTTGACAGGCAGAAACTCTTCAAGAATCTTGGCTTGGAAGGTGCCTCTTCTCTCTGGCATCTGATTTTTTTTAAAAAATTTTTTTTACTTAGATACAAGAAGAACTGAAGCTGGAATCTTTTACGTGCAAAGCACATACTCTTAAAACTGAGCTACTGGCTTTGTCCAAAAGAGAATACTGTATCCAAGGACCCAAGAGCTGTTTCCTATCGCAGACTGGAATCCCTTTTCTCTGCCATAGCTAACCAAGCTTCCTGCCCTAAACTTCATCTGGGTAATCTCCCAAGGCCAATGTCAGTGGAAAGCCTTCCTCCCGTCTGGCGTGCAACTATGTGAGGGCAATCAATTTTGAGGAAAAACAGTTGCATTTCTCAGTTGCCGCAACAACAATACAAAGGCAGCACAGCCCACAGCCACAATGGGGAAGAAGGAGAAGTCCTGACCCATTTGGTACCGTTTCCCCGAAAGTAAGTCCTAGCATGATTTTTCAGGATGCTCGTAATATAAGCCCTACCCCCCCCAAAAGCCCCTGTTAAGATTGCCAGCCAGATGGATGCATTTAGTACCGTATTTCCCCCCAAATAAGACCTAACCAGAAAATAAGCCCTAATTCATCTTTTTGGAACAAAAATTAATATAAGACCCGGTTTTATTTTCGGGGAAACACAGTAGTCCTGACCCATTTACTGGGATAGAAGAAAAAATCCTGACCCATGCCAACTTTTCTGGTAAGAGAAAAGTTATCCATAGACTGAGATTGTTGTCTTGTAGTGGAAATGAGATTGTCGTCTTGTAGTAGAAAATAACACCTTAGAAAACAAAAAACATATTGGAACTGATCATTAAAAGCCAAAAGGACATGAACCACATACAGTCAGAGGCTGGATGTATTGAGATGCCAACCTTGCCGGGCTGCCTTGTTGAGCCAACCTTGCCCATTTCAAGAGCAAATTGTGTGAAATTGGCATGCGAGCGGGTGGCACTGCCCCCCCCAGCCAGTGCCATTCAAATAATGTCACCCTTCTTCTTCAGCCTCTCTACCGAACCTAGAAATCAGGTGAATTCAGGAGCCTGGTTAGGATGGCAGGGTGCAGAAGTGGGCAAGGACACCCAGGATGGGGGCTGCAATTCCGCTGCCAAAGTTGAGAACTCAAGAACAGTTAACCTCAGCCTTAAAAACCCGCACGCAAACATCCCCTCCCCCAAGAATGGTAAAAATCATGCTGTATTTCAGGCGTGGATTGCAGCAGTTGGGGGGGGGGAAGAAGGGGAGGCTGGAACACCCCTCTCCCCAAAGCAGGGCAGGCACACACACAGCCCTTTCCCCAAAACCTAAAGCAGGGCAGGCACACACACACACACAATCTCTCGCCCCAAACCTGAAGCAGGGCAGGCACACACACACATCCTTCTCCCCAAAGCAGGGCAGGCACACACAAACACACACACACACACACAGTCTCCCCAAAACCTGAAGCAGGGCAGGCACACACACACACACAATCTCTCGCCCCAAACCTGAAGCAGGGCAGGCACACACACACATCCTTCTCCCCAAAGCAGGGCAGGCACACACAAACACACACATCACTCTCCCCAAAACCTGAAGCAGGGCAGGTACACACACACATCCTTCTCCCCAAAGCAGGGCAGGCACATACACACACACACACAGTCTCCCAAACCTGAAGCAGGGCAGGCACACACACAACACACACACACACAAACCCTCTTTCCCCAAAACCTGAAGCAGGGCAGGCACACACACACACACACACACACACCTTCCCCAGCAGGCACACAAACACACAATCCTCTCCCCAAAACCTGAAGCAGGGCAGGTACACACACACCCCTCTCCCCAAAGCAGGGCAGGCACACACAAACCTCTCCCCAAAACCTGAAGCAGGGCAGGCACACACAAACACACAACCCTCTCCTCAAAACCTGAAGCAGGGCAGGCACACACACACACCCCTCTCCCCAAAGCAGGGCAGGCAAAACCCACACCCCCCCCTTTCCCCAAAACCTGAAGCAGGGCAGGCAGACAAGACAGACACACAACTCTCTCCCTGAAACAGGCACACAAACACACACACCCCTCTCTCCTCCAAACCTGAAGCAGGGCAGAAGCAAGAGTGACTCCATGTTGGGAAGAGACAAAACACACACAGACAAGGCGGGAGGGGGGGAGGGGGAAGAAGAGAGAACGGCCGTTGGGGAAAGAGAGAGAGGGGGGGGCCGATGGAACCCTCGCGGGCGGGCGAGCGCGCACGCGCAGACGCGTCGCCGCCGCGCGCCGCCTTTTGTAAGGGCGGGTGAGGCCGAAAGGCGCTTACCTGAAGGCGGCGGTTGGGTGTTTTTTTTTGTTTTTTTTTTTGGGGGGGGGGAGGAGGGGGGGGTCCTTGAGGAGAAGGAGGGAGGGGGCGAGCCTCCCCCCCTCCCTGGCGTCCCCGGGGAGCGAAGAAGCCAGGCGGGTCCCTTCCTTTCCCTCGCGGGAGCCCTGAGGCGACACAGCCCGGTTGCGCCGGGAGAGCGGCTGCTCGTGTGCGAGCGGAGCGACCGCCTCTTCTTCTGCCGCTGCGCCTCTTCTTCTTCTTCCTCCTCCCTCCGCCGTCGTGACTCAGAGCGGCCGCGACCGAGGGAGGGAACGGAGGAGGAGGAGGAGGCGCCTGGACGACTCCAGAAGGGAGGGAGCAGCCGCCGCCTCCGCAGCCGCCGCCGCCGCCCGAAACGCGGCCAGCCGCTTTCGCCTTCAGGCGGCAACATCGCGACGACGCGCCTGAGGTAAAAGGGGGCGGGGCTCGGAGGCCGTGGGATAGAATCCGACGGTGGGCGGGGCCGGAGGAAAGAGGGCGGGGCCGGTTGGGAGTGGCGGGGAGGGAGGAGGAGGGAGAAAACAAACGCCGTCCCTCGCGCTGCGTGAAGGGGCGTGGCCTTCGGAACGGCGGAATGAATGGAAGGGCGTGGCTTGTGCGCCCTCGTGGGAAATAATCGGGGGGGGGGGATGGATCTGAATCCTTGCGATCATCGGGCCGGCTTGTCGGATGCTTTAAGCGACCGCATAGCGGGGAAGATCGGTGTTGAGCCCAAACAAGTGTGGACTTCGACTCCCAGAGTTCCCCGGCCAGCCGTCAAATTAACAGATTAACAAGAGCTGGGAGGTTTTTTCTAGGGGAGTGGGCAGAAGAATAAAGATATTAAGAATAATTATGGTAATTTTGTAGGAAAGTGGGTGGAGATAGGTTAGGTTATGGATTGTTTAGTTTAAAGAAAAGGGATATTATGTTTAGATGTGAATATATGTAATGGAGGGGGGGAAGGAAATGGGTAGTTGAACTGAACAAGTGTTAAATTAGGATTTATTGAATAGCCTTAGAGTGGAAGTATGCTTTGGAATGTTATATCGTATGGGGGGTAGTAAAAGGGCAGGCCACGAGCAGAAATTGTTAAATTGGGAGATATAATAATATTATTATGTTAAATCAGGAGTTATTAGACATTGTTATAGTAGAATCTCACTTTGAAATGCATATTATAGTATAGTGTAAGGGGGGTATGATAATTTTATTAGAAAGAAAGGGTCAGTATATGGAGATGGAGTAAGCGGATAGTAAAGCATGATATAATCTGTTATGAATTTGGGTTTTATTATGAAGAAGTCAAAGGGGAAGGGGGGGTGAGGGGGGTTAGGGAGGAGGGGGGGAAAAAGGGGGAAAATTGGTATTTGAAAAACTTTTTCAATAAAAAAAAAACAAGAGCTGGGAGAGATTTTGTTAGGTCATTTAGTCCAAACTCTCCCCCCTCTCCCCAAAAAAGCAGGAGACCTTACACCAGGGGTCAGCAACCCGCGGCTCTGGAGCCGCATGTGGCTCTTTCGTCCCTCTGCTGCGGCTCCGTCGCTCAAAATAGGCGCCACGACTGCCACCGACGAGCAGTTTATTAAATGTAAATTTAATTTATTAAGCGATTTATTAAAAAGGAGCCTGGATAGCTCAGCAGACTAATGCATTGTAATTTAACTCCAGCTGCCTGCAATTACTGCAAGTTCGAATCTCGCCAGGCTCAAGGTTGACTCAGCCTTCCATCCTTTCTAAGGTAGGTGAAATGAGGACCCAGTTTGTGGGGGCAATAAGCTGACTTTGTATAAATATACAAAAGGATGAAGGCTATTGCTTAACGCATTGTAAGCCGCCCTGAGTCTCCCGAGAAGGACGGCATATAAATCAAATTAAAAAAAAAATGTAATGCATAGTAAATAAATAAGTGTATGTAAGCATTTACTCTTGAGTCATACAAGAAAAGCAGGACTAGAAGACCTCCAAAGTCCCTTTCCAACTCTATTATTGTGTTAAATCCCAATTCTAATCTCCAGTATGAGCAAATGAGGCTAGTAGATAGTCCTATCTGGAAAGTCAAGTTTAATGTAGACCGGCCTTCTCAACTTCCGAGTCTTCTAGAAGTGTTAAAAGACTAGAAACTCTCATCAATCCAACCCAACATGACATGACATGTTGAGAATTAAGCTTTATTTATTTATTTATTTATTTGTTTGTTTGATTGATTTATATGCCGCCCTTCTCCGGAGACTCAGGGCGGCTTACAATGCTTTTAAGCAATTTTTAAGCTTTAGATATCTGCGGGGCAGTTTCATTGGTAAAACTGTACTGGATTGAATATACATATATACATACATACATCCACACACAGACAACATACATACATACATGCATATATTGTGCGAGTGTGTCTATCTGTAAGCAACTAGTTTATAAATTCCACGTAATATTACAATAAGTCTGCAGTCCACTGAAAATGGGCATAAATTATCTCCCCATTGTTGAAGGACTGATCTATTATAATAGCGTAGAATTTATTTCAAGCTATCGGTTTCCTATGTCATAGGTATGTAAACTTTGGACACACATCATATTAAATCTTTCTTAGAATAAGTTTCTCTTCCAAGTCAAATAAATCACCTTTCACTAATTGGCTAGCAGGGCGGAATGAGGGAGCCCTGTTTTTTGAGGTTGTTCCAATGAAATCCATAAAAATGTCAAGAGATAAAAACTGGAAGAACCTGCAAGGAGGACCAAGGGCATATTTGCCATGTTAAGACTCCGAAAGTCTCTCCCGTTTTTGGTTGAACATTTCCTCAAAAAGAGCCTTGGTAGTACAGTGGTCTAGGGCACCCTGTTATTAAGCTGGTTATTAAGACCAGCTGCCTGCAATTACTGCAGGTTCTAATCTCGCCAAGGCTCAAGGTTGACTCAGCCTTCCATCCTTTCTAAGGTAGGTAAAATGAGGACCCAGTTGTGGGGGCAATAAGCTGACTTTGTATAAATATACAAAAGGATGAAGGCTATTGCTGAGCACATTGTAAGCCGCCCTGAGTCTCCGGAGAAGGGCGGCGTATAAATCAAATTTAAAAAAAAAAAAAAATTCTTTATCTGAGGCTCACTAAGAGGTAAGGGTGCAGTGAAAGTCCTGCTCCTTTCCTCTCCTTCCTGTTGAATCTCAATCCTCTCAGTCCCAGAAGTGAACATTCTGCACTTTCCAAGTTGTGGTTTAGCACTTAAAAAGGACATCAAAGCCCAAAGACTCAGAAATTGACAACCTGTGTCGACTTCCGAAGACCTTAAGATGAAAAGCCCTTAAAAAGAGCAAAAGCAGAGCAGCAGCAGACGGGAACTGGAAGGGCGCATCTACGCTGCGATCTGAGGCCATTGTGAGCACGTACACAGGGAACAGCAGGCAGTAATGACAATTAATTATTTAAGAAGAGCTGAAGGCTTTCGTGCAGGCTGTGCAGGAAAAAAGGGGGATTTGGAAACATCACTCTGGGATCCTTCGGTTGGAGGCTCATTAATTAGTATGCTGTGTGAAGGGAAGGGGAGTCTGGCGCTATTTCATCTTCATCTGAGGAGGGAGCTTTGCAATTAAGGCATCTGTTTGCCTTTTATAACTGACCGAGAGGCCTTTTGAAGGTGTTGCAGGCTTCAGAAGGTGCCATATGGCCTGCCTTGTCCCTGTTTGGCTGATTATGTAATTGCTGAAGGAGAGGACTCGGCATCTCCCTGTTAGAAAGCTCTCGACAACAAAAACAGGCATCAGACCGATGCAGAGTTGAAAGGTTCATATTTAAAACAAAGAGAGGTTCAAAATCGAGGCATGCATTCCGAAGCCAACAAGTTGCTTCCATCCCTTCAAAGCCCACGAACACTTAAAGCTGCATCCTTCTGCGTGGAAAGTGTGTACAATGCTTAACATTAAGACAATGCATAAGATCCACCTCTCAGGTAATTAGTATTTGGCTTCGGATAAACATACACACACAAAAATGGTTATTTGGGGGAAAACTTTAAGGCAAATTGTTACAAAGCTAGAAAATCAAATTGATTTGTGTTTGATTCTTTTTAAAAAAATTTCATTTAAAACGTGGCATTCTAACAGTTTAAGATTAAAATAATCTCACCATGTCAAACTATCTTATTTTATATGCTATTGTATTACTACATATCACACATAAATATTGGAAAAAAATAGAGAAGCTTGCAGAAGAAAACATAAACCACTTAAGAGCTAGGAATTTCACAGATAAGAGCTGAATTTTCTGAGAATGACCAGGTTATAGCAAAGAAGCATTTAATTAAGGAAAGCAGGGAAAACTGACACAGTAAAGGACAGAAAGTTCACAAAATACAATTCCTTCTAACCAGTTTTTAGTGCATGGAAATAAGCTGTATATTCAGAAATCCAGAAAGGGGTGGGGTTACTATTTTTCCTAGACTGTCACACTAGCATACAACCTCTTCAATAGTAAACATGTCCAATTAGACAAATATTTTAACCGTTTCAGGACATTACATAATTTAGATTGCTTACAGAGAGGATTTTAAAAACGACTAGAGTGCCCAATGCCTACTTTAAGACTATTTATAACCACTTTAAGCAAAAATTTCAAATGCGGAAGCTAAAAATGAAATAACCTTTGCTATTACTTTCCCACAAAATACATTCAAAACGGAATGTCTTGTTTGAAAGCCCTGGTGTTCCTAAAGGGAGAAATATAAACGGACCATGAAAATAAAATGAGAGAAAATCAGAGATGGTTTACTAAAGTGAGATGAGCCATGTGCAAAAAGGAGCGGGGAGTACATGCAGATAGCCAAGCATAACAAGCTCAGAAGGAGCCACCTGTTTAAAGCAGGTGTGACAGTCAGGCGCAGCCGCACAAAACAAAGCTTGCCTTCTGCAGGGATCAGACAAACTCCAACCAGCGATAACGAGGCTGCTACAAACGGTTGGTCTGGCTAGGCCATTATTCAGCTATCACAACAGGAATAGTCTTACTATAGAAAGTGATGGCCTGAATGTTTCCCTGGCACTCTAGGAGCCTCACTTTCCCCTTTTTAACGCATCGTGTTAAAGCTTGGTTCAGTTACCTTGTTGACTAAGCCTCAGGTGACGGGGCTTACACAACCCGCTAAGCAAAACACCGCCGACCATAGCATGATTTAGTGCAACATGGGAACTGGGTTTCCCTTTGGGGGGAATGCTTTGGGGCAGAGATGCCTTCCTCAAAAATAGATGTTTGTAAAGCAAGCAAATACAATCACCCCCTTTGTTCCTATTTTAATTAAGAGTTTTTCTCAACTGGCTACTCTCAGGTTTAGTTGGAACGGGCTGAAAATAGTTGATAAGATGCAGTAATAGCAACACTTTTGTTTCTGAGTGGGCTACTTGGAGCAGAAGATGTATTCAGTTGATGATATTGACTCGTTTCCCAACGTTCAAGGCAAGCAGCGTTGAAAATGCAACACATTCATCACGCTGCACGATTCCAAGCTAAAAACTTTCGTACCAAAACAACAGTTTGAGAGGTCTAAAAGAGGCAGGGCACTGAAATCTCTGTTCAGGAAATGGCACAGCCCACTCGTACGGGGAGGGTCCCCTACAGCCCCTCATTTCTATTTAAGACACCGTTTCACGCTGCCCTTGGAACATATAGGAAGAACAATAGCTCATAGTTGTAACACTACGAGCTACACAAGGGAAGCCAGAGGCCCCGCGTCTTTCGGCTGCTTCCCACTGTGCTCACTGTCATTCCGATGCACAAAGTTAAACTGGCCCAGAAAATTCCTTACAGGGGTGCTATTGTTCGCCCGTGGCGTCTTTGCTCTACAGCCGTACCCAGTAACATCAAACAGGCTAGAGAAGAATAGGCGGTGGGCTTGTAGGCAATCTAGGATTTGAGAGAGGCACGATTTCCACCAAAGGCTGCTGCCTGCGTTCCACAAACCCTACTCCCCATTAAAAAAAAAAAAGAGAAAGACCAATTTCCTGCAAGCAGTTCAAGATACGCAGCTGTAGAGATTGAAAGGCCGCTAAAGAGAGAGGCTTTGTCTCATTGCGTGCAACAACTTTACTCTGGTCAGAGCGCATCTGATGGACACAGAAGGCGAGGGAGCCAACCTCTCGGATCCGCACAAAAGCTGACAACAGCAGCAAATTAGGACCTAATGTTTTTGGTGTTTTTTTTTTTTTTTTTTAAGAAAGTACCTCTGCGTTTCAACAGCAAGATGTGTGTTGCTGACTTTGAAAAGGCTGGGACCTGTTTTAGATTAACTTGCCGTTAGAATAACGAATATTACAAAAGGTTTGTAAGAAACACACAAATACAACGTGATTAAAAAAAAAAGAGTCCAATGCATCTAGTCTCCAAAAAAAAAAAGAGGCGTCTTCATTGCTTTGATTTTTCTACCTCAAAGCTCGCCAGGGCGAAGACTTTATCTCCAGATCCTGTCGTCAAAGGAAAAACAAGCAAACAAATTAAAATTCTTTTAGCGTCCCTTCTTTAACAGTCATCTGACACAGGACGTAAGAAAGTTCCTTTCTGTTCTATTTTGGCCATAAAATATACCTTTTAAACTACCAATTAAATTTTGAACCCGGTTCCCCTGGCTGAATAATTTTCCTGAAGTTCGATCAGGTCCAACTGGCAGGGCTGCTGGTCAGAGGAGGATGTGAACTCTAAGGGGATTCATGGTTTGCATCAGAGGTGGGTTTCAGCAGGTTCTGACCAGTTCTGGAGAACCAGTAACAGAAATTTTGAGTAGTTCGGAGAACCGGTAGTAAAAATTCTGACTGGCCCCGCCCCCATCTATTCTCTGCCTCCCAAGTCCCAGCTGATCAGGAGGAAATGGGGATTTTGCAGTAACCTTCCCCTGGAGTGGGGAGGGAATGGAGATTTTACAGTATACTTCCCCTGCCACGCCCACCATGCCATGCCACACCCACTAAGCCACACCCACCACTGGTTTGCATGGTGATTAAGATCAGTCATGGGATTGACCCTTTGAGACTCTATTTTTTGTGACAATCCTTGTCAAAAGCAGAGAGCGGCTGGAATCTAGGAGTAGCTAAGATTGTGATAATCGTTCAGAAAAATAAATCATCCCCAGTGCAGGTAGTCTTCAACTGACAACCAAAATGGAGCCCAAGGTTTCTGTGGCTAAGCAACACAGTGAGTTTTGCCCTATTTTACCACCTGCCACAGTTGTTAAGTGAATCACTGCACTGGTTAAGTTAGTAACACAGTTAAGGGATTCTGGCTTCCTCGTTGACTTTTGAAGGTCACAAAAGCTGATTATTACACAACCCTGGGACTCTGCAGCCATCATAAATATGAACCAGTTGCCAAGCATCCGAATTTTGAGCAAGCGACTGTGGGGGATGCTGCAAAGTGCGTAAGTGTGAAAAATGGCTGTAAGTCACTTGTTTCAGTGCTGCTGTAACGTGGAATGGTCACTAAACGAATCGGTGTTAAGTCAAGGACTACCTGTAGATGTTTTTGACCCATCTCTATTTTGTATTCTTTCTGTTGGGGGTGTCAATGGCACCTTCTTGCTTACTGACCTGAATTATGTGAGAGAAGCATAGCCAGAAACTAAAACCTATTTAAATGCTCCTAACTGACATTTGCAGCGAGAAACGGCTGTTGTGAGGTGTGGGACTGACACTCCTGAGCCCTGAAAAGAGTGGTGGGTAGAAAATGAACTAAAAAGAATTTTCTTTTTACCAAGATCAGTCGAGACCTTCTCAAACTGGCTGAGAGCAGTTCCCGCGTTCGTCGAAAGGAAAATTTCATCGCTGGGGGTCAGCTGAAAGTAAGGAGAAAGAGCGCACGGTTGACTGTGTAACATTTATATTATACCCTTTGTGGTCAATTGAATCATCTGTGATTTCATGGGTTCAGCAGATAAAGAAAAGAACGCTTTAAGTCGCTAATGAGGCCATCAAACGCTTTAAAGTGGGGTGTCCAACCTTGGCAACTTAAGACCTATGGACCATGCTGGCTGAGGAATTCTGGGAGTTGAAGTCGGGTGAGATTGAAAAATGTTAGCAACCGGTAAAACATAAAAAATGGTGGGTTGCCATGGCCATGTTGTTGGGGCGGCGTTTCCGCCCTCCCCAGGCTCCCCAGGCTTTCCTTGAGCCTCCGGGAGGGCAAAAACAGCCTCCCCTGGGCTCCGGAGGCCCGCCAGAGGCCGGAAACGGGTCCATTTTTGGACTTTTGGAAATCTCATTTTTTGCCCTCCCAGAGCCTTTGCTTGGGCCCTGCACTTACCTCGCCTCCAAAACAGGCCGCATGGAGACTCCTGGGAGGGGTGGGGTGGGTGGGGCCAGCCATTCCTTGCAACTACCGGTTTGGTGAACCAGATGTAAGATTAGCATCGAACCGGTCTGAACCAGCTGAATCCCACCCCTGATTGAAGTCCACAAGTCTTAAAAGTTGCCGAGATTGGACACCTCTGATTTAAATGATATGAAGAGAGAAACTTCAACTCTGCGGCTTCATGGAGGAAACAAGGAGCAACAGGAAACTGTCATATTAAAAAGAAGTAATATAACTGGATTTTGTACTGTGTAATACATATGAATATAGTTAGTTAATCTTACTATCTAGGGCACAACTTCCCTTTCAAGATGGAAGTACACTATAAGGTTTCATAAAGCATAATCAACTGATCAAAGCTACATTAAAATCTTCTTAACTCTGCTCCGTTCCATGAAAACACTGAGATCAGACGAAGCAAGAAAAGTCCCGTTTTAATTGAGTCCACCAAAATCAAATCCTATATGGAATCCCAGGGATGGGGGTGTCTGGTTAAAGAAGGCTGGTCAGAGAGGAGTAAACCGTAGGATAAAGTACGAAAGAGGTGCCACCCTGAAGTACCTTTTCTCCCAGCTTGCGGAGAGCCGTGAGGATTTCCACCTTCTGCTGAGTGTAGAGGTCTCGTCCCAGTTTCCCCACTATCAGGTCTCTGTCCATCTAAGCAGGAAAGGAGAAGTCATATCAGCCTCCAATTACCTATGTGACGTTTGAGGATAAAGTTGGCCTGTGACTGGGAATCAGTTATACACTAGAGGGCTGGGAAGCTCGCCTGAGCAATTTGCACTTTGCACCAATGTGGCTCTCAGCTTCCAGAATGACGTCATTCGTCTGAGCAAGAAGACAAAAAGGTTGCCATTTCTTCTTCCTTAGTGTGGACAGCAAAATCGCTTGTGAATTATGTTCAAGCCAACACAACTCAGGCAAGAGACTCTGTACACCGGTGCAAGATTTAAGCAACTTGCATAAATCGTACCAAAATAAAAAAAACACCAAAATCACTTTCAATCATTTTTAACCATGCAGGTTCCCAGGCTAGATCAATCTATTAAAAAAAAAACAAGATTTAAAAAAAAGGATGGGGAAATAAAACGGGACATGTCAGCTGGGACCCCGATTCTCGAAATAAGATCGTTTGGCATTGGCATCAGTCTTGCCCCAGAAATATTTTGTTTTTCAGAAGGAAAGTGGTTAACACTCTTCATGTCCTTGACTTATTGAAGAACAGAATTTGTTTGTTTGGAAAAAAGGAAACATCCTCACCTCAGCCAATCTTGTCCTCAACTGCCCAGGCTGTTTTTTGGCAAACATCCTGATGACTTCCGGAGTTTTAAAAGCCTGGCTGATGGCTGCTTGTATAGCCTAAAAGATAAAATGTAAATAACTTGTAGCGAATATCAATAGACAAGGTTACTTCGTGTTACATGGATATGATAAATATTATCATGAGTTATTTCTATGACTAGTAAGGGGCACTGAACCGCTAAGAAATTCCTTTGCTATCAGCACATGGGATGCTTCTGTTCATTAGTCACTTAAGAAGCAGCCAGCTTTTGCAATTTTTAATATCTGAAACATTAATTTATAAAACCAGAGCACCATATAGTTCTGCGGTTAAGAGCAACAGTTGGACTGCAGCAAGTTAACATGCCTTCCGTAGTCGTTATTATTTTATAACTAATATTATTATTGCTCATATTAGTTCTTTAAATTTGCTGTACTGGTTTGTCAATCCTCTACCTACATTACAGGTAGTCCTCAATTTACGACCACAATTAAGCCTAAAATTTCTGTTGTTAACTGAGACATTTGTCAAGTGAGTTTTGCCCCATTTTACGACTTTTCTTGCCACAGTTGTTAAGTGAATCCCTGCACTCAATAAGTTAGTAAGCCAATTTCTCCTTAGTTCTAAGTTGCTTCTGTCCTTGATCAGTTTCCACCCATTGCTTCTTGTCCTGCCCTCAGGTGCTTTGGAGAATAGATTCGCTCCCTCTTCTTTGGGGCAGCCCCTGAGATATTGGAACACAGCTATCATGTCATCCTTAGTCCTTCTTTTCATTAAACTACTTGTACATCAGTACTACTGTCTCATTTGTACCATCCATTCCCCCCCCCTCCGCAAGATGGAGAAATCTGCTTGACACTGCAAAGTCAGGTGACTTTCTGCAGGTGACAGTGTCTAAGGTTGCATGGAAGAAGGCTTAAAATACCCATCCATCGCTTTCGAAACAAAAGGAATCTAGAAAGGTGCCACCCACTGCAGGAGATAATTTTGACATACAATCACTGAAATTCAAGCCAAATACTCACCAGTTGCATCCCACCGAGCTCATCTACCAAGGTCATATTGCCAGAGATAATTTTTTTCAAGGAGTCATTGAACTCGCTCAGCTGCTCAAGTGTTTCCTTCTTGGTTTCTTCATACTCACTGACATCCAGTTCGTCTCTGCAAGGGAGCCAATCGCAGTATAATTTTAGCTGCTGTTACCAACATACAATAGGGATGCGGTGGCTCAGTGGCTAAGATGCTGAGCTTGTCGATCGAAAGGTCGACAGTTCAGCGGTTCGAATCCCTAGTGAGCTCCCGTGACTTGTCCCAGTTTTTGCCAACCTAGCAGTTCAAAAGCCCGTAAAAAAAAGGAAAGTAGAAAAAATAGGGACCACCTTTGGTGGGAAGGGAACAGCGTTCCGTGCGCCTTTGGCGTTGAGTCATGCCGGCCACATGACCACGGAGATGTCTTCAGACAGCACTGGCTCTTTGGCTTTGAAACGGAGATGAGCACCCTAGAGTCAGGAACAACTAGCACATATGTGCGAGGGGAACCTTTACTTTTACCTAGCAGCATACAGGTAGTTCCCGACCCATGGCCACAATTGAGCCCAAAATTTCTGTTGCTAAGTGGAACGCTTGTCAAGCAAATTTTGCCCCATTTTACATCTTTCTTGCCAGATTTGTTAAGCGAATCATTGCAGTTAAGTTAGTAACACGGCTGTTAAGGGAATCTGGCTTCCCCATTGACTTTAATTGCCAAAAGGTCACAAAAAGAGATCATGTCACCCCAGGACATTGCAACTGTCATAAATATGAGTCAGTTGCCAAGTGTCTGAGTTTTGATCATGTGACGATACGGATGCTGCAGTGGTCCCAAGTGTGAAAAGCAGTCATAAAGTCACATTTTTCAGTGCCATTGTAACTTCAAATGGTCACTAAATGAACTGTTGTAAATCAAGGACTACCTGTATTCCCAATCTAGGGTAACTAACCTACTTATAGCAGGAAGGGGTACACTGAGGCAGCAGGGCTATACACAGCAGCAAATGAATATTTAGCTATGCTTATTGCAAACGGCAATTTTAAACTGGGACACACAAAACTATGGGATACTCTTAAAAACAAAAATCGTTAAAAAAAATCACAAGTGTGTATACACCCCCCCACCCCATCCCAAATCTCCTTTCCAAAAACTCTGAAATTTGATCCAAGGATCCATGGCGGATTAGTCATGTCCGGAAGGGCGGGTGGGCGCCCTCCCCCTGTCCCTTACCTGCACTCCTCCAGATCCTGCAGCTGTTGCATCAGCCTGTCCAGCTGCTCTTCCAAGTTCTGCTTCAACTTGCTGGTCTCGATGGTTCCCCTCGAAGCCATTTTAAGTCATGTGCCACACAGACCTTCTGTCGGAGACAAAAGCAGAGACAAGAGGCTAAATGACAGGAGGGGCCCCTGCCATAGGAAGGATGAATAGATAGGAACTCTTCTACGAATGATAGAATTAAAGCATAGAATTAAAGGTGCATTAAATAAATAGCAACAAATAGCTTATGTGACACCAGATATATTCGATGTATATATGTATAAATATTGCATATCCGATGTTAATAGAAATGAGATTTTTTTCTGTATATATATATAAAATTTAATAAAGTATGTTTGAAAAAAATAAAAAAAATAAAAGAGAAACTCTTAATTTGAAAAAAACAGAAAGGGGAAGGGGCTGCAGCCCTCTCCCTCCCTCCTCCCCCCCCCCCCCCCCCCCCCCTCTCTCCATCCCCCCCCCCCCCCCCCCCCCCCTCCCCCCCTCCCTCCCCCCTCTCTCCCTCCCTGGAAGGCATTTGGGGCCAAGAAAAATGTTATTTTCAGCTTGGAGGGATGCACTCCAGTTGCTAATTTTTATTTTATTTTTATTTTTTTTTAAATTTTAGCCATGGGGTTTGCAATCTTAGCATTGTGCCAAGGGGGCGGAGGAGGCCCCACTTCCAGTTGCTGATTCAGCTCAGGTTCAGCGCCTTTCGAAGCCCTCTCCCCCCCCCCCCCCCCATCCCCCCCCACTCCTCCCAACGAACCCCACCCCCCCATTCCCCCCCCCCCCCCCCCCCCCGCAGGGCCCCCATCCCTCCCTCCCTCCCTCCCTTACCCACGCAACACTCCTCCTTCCTCCTCTCCAGCCTCCCCGGGTGGATGAGAAGGCGGACCCCGCCCACTCCCTCAATCACATCGCTCCTTTGGGGAGGGGGGAATTAGAGCCCCCGTCCCACTTCCGGTTTGGAAGCCTTGGGGGAACCTTCCTGGGCGTCGGACATGCCGTCACTTCCTGCCTGCGGGAGCCAATCAGAGCGCTGCTTTCGCTCCCAGCCGCTTCTCTTGCCTTCTTGGCTCTTTCGACCGAGTAGTTTCAGTTCCGGGCTGAAGCCGTTGACGACTCGCTCTCTTCGGTCCTTGTCGGCCGGTAAGGCAGTCCTTTTCGGGAGCCTCCCAGTTTTGGAGGGGGTGGGTCGGCGGGTGCAGGAGGGGTGGGCGATCCTTGCCACGATGATAGCTTATTCCAATCAGAAGCCAATAAAAGAAATAATACAGGTAGTCCTCGGACTTACAACGGTTCGTTTAGTGACCGTTCGACGTTACAACGGCACTGGAGAATGTGGCTTTATGACTGCTTTTCACACTTGGGACCACTGCAGCATCCGTATCGTCGCATGATCAAAATTCAGACACTTGGCAACTGATTCATATTTATGACGGTTGCAGTGTTCTGGGGTGACGTGATCCCCTTTTGTGACCCTTTTGGCAAGTAAAGTCAATGGGGAAGCCAGATTCCCTAAACGCCCTAAAAGTTGTAAAGGCACTGGAAAAAAAGGGAGACTTGCGACCGTGTTTCACGCTTAACGACCGTTGCAGCATCCCCCGCGGTCACGCGATCAAAATCCAGACGCTTGGCAACTGGCTCACATTTATGACGGTCGCAGTGTCCCCGGAGGGTCGTGCCATCAGCTTTTGCGACCTTCCGACAAGGAAAGTCAACGGGGAATCCAAATTCACTTGTTAACAACCGTGTTTTTAGCTGAACAAATGCAATGATTCGCTTAACAATTCTGAAAAGTCGTAAAATTGGGCAAACTCGCTGTTTTGCTACATAGATTTTGGACTCGGGTTGTGGTCGTAACTCGAGGACTACCTGTATAAACGTCTTGATTTCCTGTAAGAAAAAAAAAAAACCGAGCAGTCCTTGGTCTTCAGGATGTAGTTAGACGAGTAAAGTCCGGTATCGGATCGATTCTTCTGGTGACCCCTGCAAGATGAGGATGCTATTGATGTTAGCATCTTCTGGAAGTGTTATTCTTTACCCATTTAGTTTCAGCTCTCTTATCTATTTTCTCTGAGAGCTAACGAGGTCTGATCCTGCCAGTCTTTTCTAGATCAGCCAGGATCTGTTAGGCACCATCATTTAGACGGGTGTGGCTGGAAGCTTTGCTTCATAATACCCAGATTTGGCCATGCTAAGGAAATGGAGAACTAGGCATGGTTCCCCTTTCTCTATTACAAGAGCAGGAGCAACAATCTAATATTCATTTATGAAGCTTTTCTAGATCGGGTCTTTTCTAGATAGGGCTGCGGTGGAGATGAGCAACTGTAAAAATACTCTTTATGTATTTCTTTTTGACTAAGGGTAGCAATAGCAACAGCACTTCAACTTATAGCTTTACAGCCCTCTCTAAGCGGTTTACATAGTCAGCAAATGGCCCCCAACAATCTGGTAAAATCCTCATTTTACCAACCTCAGAAGGCTGAGTAAACCTTGAGCCTGATGAGATTCGAACTGCCAAATTTCAGGCACTCAGCAGAAGTAGCCTGCAATACTGCACTCTGACCACTGCGCCACCAAGGCTCATAATTAGGTAGGTTGCTTTAATTTAGGCCATATTCTTGGAGCAGTTTAACACGGGACGGATCTGTTTTGAGGGTATTGGAGCATTGTTGTTTCATTGCTCAACAGAAGAAAAGGATATTTATTTATTAGTATTTATTGATTTAAGGGTCTTATATAACATGACAGGTCGTCCAGCTTGTGACTGTATAGTGGAATAAGTCAGTGGCACATTTTCCAACATCATAGTGTGAAAGCTTTATGGAGCTTCTGCCATGCCCTTCGAGGAGATTTAGGCTGCGGCATTCACACTGTACATGGATGGACGGCGTAAAATCAGTGCTGCAAAACTACAAATGTTTTTTCTGGTTTTCACACCTCTCGGCTGCAGCTTCAGAAGGCAATTTTTCCAAGCCAGGGTGATTGTATATTGAGAAAAGATACCTTTTCTTCAATTTCTTGCGTGAGAGGTGATACACATATTGCCTAGAATTTAATCCTGAAACTATCTTAAACCTAAACATTTTTTTTTTAAAAATGCTGCTTTGGAATAGTTGTAGTGGGCCCACCTTATAACTTTGTTTAAATTAAACCGTCCCTGGAATCACAAGGGGCTTCCATAATTCCATCCTTGGTGGCCTTCTGAGTCTTTCACTGTGCCAGGGATGTTCTTGTCTTCTCTTGACAAAGAAAGTAGAGTAGAGCAGAAGAATAGAATAGAATAGAATAGAATAGAATAGAATAGAATAGAATAGAATAGAATAGAATAGAAAATATGGAATGGAATAGAATGTAATGTAATGGAATAGAAATAGAAATAGAAATAGAAATAGAATAGAATAGAATAGAATAGAATAGAATAGAATAGAATAGAATAGAATAGAATAGAATAGATTAGAAAAAAATAATGGAATGGAATGGAATGGAATGGAATGGAATGGAATGGAATAGAATAGAAAATACAGAATAGAATAGAATAGAATAGAATAGAATAGAATTCCTTATTGGCCAAGTGTGATTGGACACACAAGGAATTTGTCTTTGGTGCATATGCTCTCTTTGTACATAAAAAGACAAGATGCATTCATCAACAATCATAAGGTGAAATAAAATTCCATAAAATGAAACCCAGGTAGAATCCTTTTAGCAGAAAGATTTGTTTCATGGGCCAGTGGTCACCCATGGCCGGTCAGATGTGCCACAGGCAGCCGCATTCAGAGACTGGTTCATAACAGATTCCTGTCTTGGCTTTCTTGTCCAGCGTCAGTCCAGGAGAAATGACATTGGCAAGCCAGAATAATCCCAAGAAGGAAAAATAGGCTGCAAGAGAGAAAGAGCCGCAGTGTGAAAGAAAGATATGTATTTTCTGTCCAAATATAAAAAAAAAAAAAAAAAAAAAAAATCACAGGCACAGCATTACAGATAGTTCCTCGACTTATGACGACCATGGAGCCCATACTTCCCCTTGCTAAGCAAGACAGTTGGCGTTGAGTCATGCCGGCCACATGACCACGGAGACGTCTTCGGACAGCGCTGGCTCTTCGGCTTTGAAACGGAGATGAGCACCGCCCCCTAGAGTCAGGAACGACTAGCACATATGTGCGAGGGGAACCTTTCCCTTTAACTTGTATAAAGAGAAATCACAATACTTACTGGCCGATATTATGCTAGCCGCTGACAGAATCATCGAGAGGTAATAGAGCTCAGGAGTGGTTCTGGCCTAGGAAAGATATATATATATTCTTTATGATAAAGGAATTAAAAATGTTTTCTAATATTTTAATTAAAGCGGTCTATATTCAGAATTACCCTCCCGTGCGAGGAATTCTCTTAGGATTCAGAATAGACATTCTTTTTTTTAATTTGATTTATATGCCGCCCTTCTCCGGAGACTCAGGGCGGCTTACAAGGCGTTAAGCAATAGCCTTCATTCTTTTGTATATTTATACAAAGTCAGCTTATTGCCCCCACAAACCGGGTCCTCAATTTACCTACCTTAGAAAGGATGGAAGGCTGAGTCAACCTTGAGCCTGGTGAGATTCGAACTAGCAGTAATTGCAGGCAGCTGAATGATAATAACAGGCTATTAGTCTGCTGCGCCACCAGGCTCTTTTGCCTTACAACTGTTGCAGCATTCCCCCCATAGTCACGTGATTTAAATTCAGAGGCTCGACAGTTGGTTCCTATTTATGACGGGTGCAGTGTCCCGGGATCACGTGATTCCCCCTTTGCGACTTTCTGACAAGCCAAGTCAATGGGGACGCCAGATTCACTTTAACGACTGTGTGATTCACTTAACAACTGCAGTGGCTCACTTAACGGCGGCAAGAAAGGCCGTCAAATGTTGCAAAATTCACATAACTGCTGTCTCGCTTACCAACTGTGTTTGTAAGCGAGCCGCAGTGGCGCAGTGGTTAAGAGTGCGGTACTGCAGGCGACTTCTGCTGATCACCGACTGCCTGCAATTTGGCAGATCAAATCTCACCAGACTCAAGGTTGACTCAGCCTTCCATCCTTCTGAGATGGGTAAAATGAGGACTCAGATTGTTGGGGTAATAGGCTGACTCTGTAAATCGTTTAGAGAGGGCTGTAAAGGACTGTGAAACAGTATATAAGTCTTAACTGCCCTTCCTTCCTTCCTTCCTTCCTTCCTTCCTTCCTTCCTTCCTTTCTTCCTTCCTTCCTTCCCAGTAATTAGAATGCAGTATTGCAGGCTAACTCTGCCCACTGCCAATAGTTTGATCCTGACCGATTGGCTCAAGGTTGACTCAGTCTTCCATCCTTCCGAGGTGGGTCAAATGAGGAGCCAGATTGTTGGGGGCTGTAGGCTGACTCTGTAAACTGCTTAGAGAGGGCTGGAAAGCATTGTGAAGCTGTATATAAGTCTTAAGTGCTATTGTTAAGTCACGGACTGCGTGTACAGTGGGAGGAAATCTGATGGAGACATGAGCTACATACGCATTGTGGGGCCAAGGCAGTGAGTAGAGTGATATAAGCGCCTTCTGCAAAAGAGGCAAGTCCAAAAACCGAGATTGTGGCTCTCAGCTCCCATGGGATGTGCGGCGTCAGGGCTAAGATCAAAGCCAGCCCTAAAAAGAGAGGAAGGGGGAGAATTAGCTTATGGGGATGGGCATGCAGGCAGGAGCGACAGGTAGAGCTTTGTGCAATCCTAAATGGCCTCCATGGCAGTCTGTTCACGTGAGGTATACACAGGGATGGGCTGCTGGGGGTTCGCAGGGGTTCGGGAGAACCTCTAGCTAAGATTCTGTGCAGTTCGGAGAGCCCCCAAATCCCACTCCTGGCTCACCCCGCCCAGCCCCTCCCAGGAGTCCCCACGCAGCCCGTTTTGGATGCAGGTAAGTGCAGGTTGCGTGCGGAGGCTCGCGGAGGGTGAAAAAGGGGCCTACTGGAACAGGGGTGAAATCTAGCAAGTTCTGACAGGTTCTGGAGAACCGGTAGTAGAAATTTTGAGCAGTTCGGAGAACCGGTAGCGGAAATTTTGAGTAGTTCGGAAAACCAGTAGCAGAAAGTAGTTCAGAGAACCGGCAAATACCACCTCTGGCTGGTCCCAGAGTGGGGTGGGAATGGAGATTTTGCAGTATCCTTCCCCTGGAGTGGGGGTGGGAATGGGGATTTTGCAGTATCCTTCCCCTGCCACACCCACCAAGCCACACCACAGCCACCAAGCCATGCCCACAGAACCGGTAATAAAAAAATTTGGATTTCAGCACTGTACTGGAAGTTCAGGAAGGGCCCGTTTCCAGCCTCCAGAGGGCCTCCGGAGCCTGGGGAGGCTGTTTTTGCCCTCCTGGAGGCTCAAAAAACGCCTCCGGAGCCTGGGGAGGGCAAAAACATCCCGTGCTGTGGTGCAGGAGGCCAACTAGGCCACGCCCACCCAGCAACCGGGCAGAGAACCCCTTGGTAAAATTTTTGAAGCCCACCCCTGGGTATACACCCCCCCCCTTTGTCATTTTCTGCAGCACAAATGTTTAGATTTGTGGAGCCGAAAGAACCACAGTCGTCCTCTCTTGATGATCTGGAGAGCTGCTGGAAGCCTTCACGCACCTGTAGCGAAGAATGTCAGGATGATGCTTCCCACCAGGTTGTAGAGAAGGGGCTGGTTGCAGTAGTGAGAAGATTTAGGTCTGAAAAACAAGATTTTGGGGGGTGGGAAGGTGGGCCAGTAACCATGTGTTCCAAATTCACAAATGGCAGTTTTGCTCACAAGTTATCTTTCCCCTGTTGGCAGGCTCTGCTGAATTCTGCTGAATGTACAGTATATTATTATATGTACCTCTGAATAGATTTACCATACCTTTAACTTCGCACTTGGCCTCATTTCTGCTAGTGCCAGGCACTTTGCCTTTCCCACTGGGAAATTCCTTTGTTTCTCACCTTTATTTACATGTGCAATCTGCAAATTTCTAGACCTGTCTGAACTTTCCTTTCCTTTCCTCCTCTCTCTTCCTTCCCTTCCCTTCCCTTCCCTTCCCTTCCCTTCCCTTCCCTTCCCTTCCCTTCCCTCCTCCCCTTTCCTTCCCGTCCCTTCCCTTCCCTCCTTCCCTTTCCTTTCCTTCCCTTCTCCTCTCCTTCCCTTCTTCCCCCTTTCCTTTCCTTCCCTTCCCACCCCTCTTCCCTTCCCTCCTCCCCTTCCCTTCCTGCCCCTCCTTCTCCCTTTCCTTCTCTCTCTTCCTTCCCTTCCCTTTCCTCCTCCTCCCTTTCCTTTCCTTTCCTTTCCTTTCCTTTCCTTTCCTTTCCTTTCCTTTCCTTTCCTTTCCCTTCCCTTCCCTTCCCTTCCTTTCCTTTCCTTTCCTTTCCTTTCCCTTCCATCTTCCTCTTTTCCTGTCCTTCCCTTCCCTTCCATCTTCCTCTTTTCCTTTCCTTTCCTGTCCTTTCCTGTCCCTTCCCTTTTCCCTTTCCCTTCCCTTCCATCTTCCTCCTTTCCTTTCCTTTCCTTTCCTTTCCTTTCCTTTCCTTTCCTTTCTTCCTTTCCTTTCCTTTCCCTTCCTTCCCTTCCCTTCCTTTCCTTTCCTTTCCTTTCCTTTCCCTTCCATCTTCCTCTTTTCCTGTCCTCCCTTCCCTTCCATCTTCCTCTTTTCCTTTCCTTTCCTGTCCTTTCCTGTCCTTCCTTTTCCTTTCCCTTCCCTTCCATCTTCCTCCTTTCCTTTCCTTTCCTTCCTTTCCTTTCCTTTCCTTTCCTTTCCTTTCCTTTCCTTTCCTTTCCCTTTCCCTTTTCCCTTTTCCCTTTTCCCTTTTCCCTTTTTTCCTTCCCTTCCACTTCCACTTCCACTTCCAACATGTACCTAATTTCCTAATGCTAACTTAAAGAGTCTTCATTAGGCAGTGCTTTCAAGGCCTGGTGATCGTTTTACTATCAGTATAGTCTAAAATATCTGTCCCACCACAGCCTTCCCTTAAATTTCCAGCCCTTCAACTTTGGAATTTGAACCTCTGGGGGAAAAAGCAAGAAGTCATCTGTTTTAAGTCTCTACCAGGGACTTTAACCAAAATAAATCCAATCCAACCCCACCCCAAACACTCATGGGACAGGCTGCAACTTCTCTCTTCTCAAGAGCTCCTCCGGATATTCCAGTCGGCTGCCCCCGTGTTCTTGAAGGTACGCAAGCATGTAAAGGGAATATCAGAGGAAAAAGAAAAAGAATAAAATTCCGCTTAATACCGTAGCAGGACGTAGAATTGGAGAAGAAGGATGGCAGTCCCAAGGGCAAAAATCACGAGTTGCCTGGCGAAAAGAACAAAGAAATAAAAAATGAGAGAGAGACTTATCAGTATCCTTATTGTTTGGAAATATATTATCATAATTCTCTACATTCGATAATTAGTGGCAAGCAGTGTTGAGCAGTGAATTTCATCCTTGTACCCTGTTTCCCCTAAAATAAGACCTCCCCTGATAGTAAGCCCAATCGGGCTTTTATTTATTATTTATTTATTTTATTTTATTTGTATACCACCCTTCTCCTAGTGGACTCAGGGCGGTGCACAGCCAGAACTAAAACACATACCAATACAAAATTTAAAATTATTAAAAGCGCATGTGCTAAAATAAGCTGCCCCCCGAAAATAAGCCTTCCCCGAAAATATTTAAACGCATGCACAGCCTGTCCCCGCCATTTCCTCTGGTTAGGGTTAGGGAGACAGAGCTGGAAATCAGGTAAGATAACAAGATAGTAAGTAAGTAAGTAAGTAAGTAAGTAAGTAAGTAAGTAAGTAAGTAAGTAAATAAGTAAGAAAGATAGTAAGTAAATAAGATAGCTTCACGCACCCCAAAGTAATAAGATCTCCCTGAAAATAAGGCCAAGCGTTTATTTCAGGGTTCAAAAAAAATATAAGACAGGGTCTTATTTTCGGGGAAACACGGTAATTTCAGCAAGTGAAAACTTACCCAAAAGATTGGACAAAGTTATAAGTCCAAGTGACAAGCCATATGGGTGGGATACAGAAGTTTTTAGGTAAAGGTAAAGGTAAAGGTTCCCCATGCACATATGTGCTAGTTGTTCCTGACTCTAGGGGGCGGTGCTCATCTCCGTTTCAAAGCCGAAGAGCTGGCGCTGTCCGAAGATGTCTCCGTGGTCACGTGGCCGGCATGACTCAACACCAAAGGCGCACAGAACGCTGTTCCCTTCCCACCAAAGGTGGTCCCTATTTTTCTACTTGCATTTTTTACATGCTTTCAAACTCTAGGTTGGCAGAAGCTGGGACAAGTCACGGGAGCTCACCCCGTTACGCAGCACTAGGGATTTGAACCGCTGAACTGCCGACCTTTCGATCCACAAGCTCAGCATCTTAGTCACTGAGCCACCCATGGCCCGTAGACGTTTTTAAGCCTGGTTTAAAACAGATGCAAATGCAGTCTGCTTGTTGGACACTTCTGACGGTGTCAAAGAAGACTTTTCACACAGAATTATGAATAGCAAAGAATTCATTCTTTTCCCACTTAATGCTAACCTCTGTAACTAGGATGGTGCTCTCACTGGGCAAAATAAAAATACAAGCAGTCGGAATGCCTCATCACAAGCTCTAATACTGTGCCCGAGTTAAAACGCCAAGTTGTGGCAGCTTACAGTCTGAACCGGAGATGTTTTGGGAGCCATCGGCTGAAGTGATAGGCAGCGTGAGCCAGGCAGAAGTGAATCATAGCAGATCCGTCAAAAACCTGGCAAAAAAAGACATCCAGGGATTGTAGAATTGAGTTCTTTAATTGTATAATTGTAAATGCTAGGTTAAAGGCCTGTCCTTGCCACAATTATTTTTATCTAAGGAAAACCTGGTCCATGGTAGTGGAATATTGTGTTTCACATATACAACGTTTTCCAAGTGAAGTCTAGAAGGCCGATTAATTAAAAATATTTACATATGTAAAACAAGCCAGGTTTTAGCTGGGTTGATGCTTTGCACTCAAGCCATTCTCTTGTGAGCCACAAATGGTCTGAATTCATACACCACACACTAACCTTGCTATCATGGTTCACAAACCACAATGTTCTAAGCCACAAACCTGGTGTGTGAATTCTGGCTTTGACTGAGGATCGCTCTGCTACCTCTTGTGTTCTCGGCCGTCAGAGGAAAGGGGCTTCTGAATATAGCAATAGCACTTAGACTGATATACCGCTTTACAGCCCTTTGCAGCCCTCTCTAAGCGGTTTACAGAGTCAACCTCTTGCCCCCAACAATCTGGGTCCTTATTTTACCCACCTCGGAAGGATGGACGGCGGAGTCAACCTTGAGCCTGGTGAGATTTGATCTGCTGAGCTAAGAGCTAGCAGTCAGCTGAAGTAGCTTTCAGTACTGCACTCTAACCAGTACGCCACCTCGCCTCATAGGTCATCCTTGACTTATGACCACAATTGAGCCCCAAATTTCTGTTGCTGAGTGAGACGTTCTGTTGCTGAGTTTTGCCGCATTTTATGCCCTTTTTTGCCACAGTTGTTAAACGAAGCACTGCAGTTGTTTAGTCAGTAACAGCAGGGATGGGTTCTACTTACCTTTACTACTGGTTTGTAGCGGGGCCGCGCGCATGCGCTCTTCTGCGCAAGCGCAGAAGCATTTTGATGACGTCGGGGTCGGTGGGCGGAGCCTCCCGCCGGTTTTACTACCGGTTCTATAGAACCGGTGTGAACCGGGGGCAACCCACCACTGAGTAACAGGGTTGTTAAGTGAATCTGGCTTCCCCATTGACTTTGCTTGTCAGAAGTTCGCAAAAGGAGATCACGCGACCCTGGGACTCTATAACCGTCATAAATATGAGTTGCCAAGTGCCTGAATTTTGCGGTTGTGGGGATGCTGCAACAGTTCCGTGAAAAACATCCATAAGTCACTTTTCTCAGTGCCGTTGTAACTTCGAACAGTTACTAAACAAACTGTTGTATTCGTGTCGTAAGTTGAGGACTACCTATACGGAAGCTCTGTACCCGTAATGGCGAACCGATGGCACGCGGAGCCATATTGGTGGGCACACAAGCGTTGCCCTAGCTCAGCTCCAGCGCGTGCATCTGATTTTCGGGCCTTCCGGGCCCACTGGAAGTCAGCAAATGGGCCTTTTCTGGCCTCCAGAGGGCCTCTAGAGCGATGGGGAAGCCTGTTTTCGCCCTCCCCAGGCTCCAAGAAAGCCTCTGGAGCCTGGGGAGGGTGAAAAACAGGCCTACCGGGTCCACTGCGCCATCGCGTGCCAAAAACCAGGGGAGCGTGCGCATGCATGGGGCACATTGAATTACAGGTATGGGCACACACGCACATGACCCCCCCCCCAAAAAAAGATTAGCCATCACTGCTCTATACGGACGGTCTATTTTGATCCATGCTGGCTGTTCATACTAGGGTAGTCTCCTTGTCTGACCCACTCAACCAATGGGGCGATCCTTCCGGTTTAACAACCGGTTCAGAGATCGCGTGCGTTGTGCGCGCGTGCAACAGTTCAATAAAAAAAATCACCTTCCGCGTTAGTGGTAGGGAATTAAAACAGCTGAGGCACGGCAATCCGCCATGCTAATCAGCTGCGAAGATAAAGGTAAGTAAAACGCAGGGGCAGGCGGTCGGGCCCAGCTGATAGTCGGAGCGAACCGGTTTGCTCCCAGCCGATCGTTGGCGCTACGAACCGGTCGGAACCGGTAGGCTCCCACCCCTGCGACTCAACCTCCTTCAACCTGTTGCCCCTCCCAATTGTGTTGGGATGACAGCTCCAGGAATTCCCACTCGGCACTCACCTTTGGAATTCCGGGACGTCATCTCTCCCAGATGCTCCTGTACATGTGAAGAGTGCACTGGAGTCTTCCCAGGGACAAAGGAGGGGTCGGATGTCCGCATTTTTTTTCTTCCTTTGTCTGCCGCCCCCATCTTACCTGGATTGCCAGGTGATCATCTGTGCTTCAGCTGATGATCTCTCTCTCTCTCTCTCTGGGGAAGGAATTGGATCCCCTATCCGCCTTAAGAAGCATCCCCCACCTCCCTTCAATCTACGCATTGCTGCTGTCTAGCCCCAGAGGTGGCTGGCCAAGGCAGGTATTTTTATATACCTGCGACAGGTGGAGATCATTTTACCTGTATTCATTATTCAGACGTTGGCTTTTTTGCTTTGGCAAATGCGCAAGGCTGGAATTAAACCCAGATCTGGCTTTGATTGCTTCTTCTTCTTCTTCTTCTTCTTTTTTTTTTTTTGGCTTCTGTCATGGTTGGCCTAACGAAGAAGTGAAATTAAAAGCAATGCAACTTTAGAAATACAGCCTTGGGAAATCTATTCAGCTGGGGGGGGCGGGGCGGATGGGGAAACGAAGAGTGAAATATTATTAATCCCCGCAAAAGCGATCAAATTATGACGGTACTGTAATGATGTTCCTAAACTATCTGGAAAACAGTCATTCCATCTGTTTAACCCCTATTGTCCTTTAGTGGCTTGTATTAACGATTTATATTGACCGTTTCCTAGTAGGATTCAATTGCTTATTTGTACCCTATGACTATCACTAAGGGTTTTACCTTATGAGTCTTAACGAATGTATCTTGTCTTTCTATGCACACTGAGAGCTTATGCACCAAAGACAAATTCCTTGTGTGTCCAATCACACTTGCCCAATAAAGGACCCGGATTGTGGGGGGGGCAATAAGCTGACTTTGTATAAAAAAGAACACCGCTGGGGTGGGGGGGCAAAAGCCCTACTAAACAGGTATATACAAAAGTACGACGGCTATTGCTTAACGCATTGTAAGCCGCCTTGAGTCTCCGGAGGAGGGCGGCATATAAATCGAACCAATAAATAAATAAATAAAGAATTGTATTGTATTGTATTTCACAGAAATGGCCCCTCTGCTTTGTAGCAGCCAAAACCACATTAAAATGGGCATTTCCAAAATATTGGCAAAGCCTGAACTTAACAGTCACTCAGCTGCGTATTCATGAGGACCAGAAACTTGGTTTTTCTTCACAGAGCAGGCTGATATAACTGCTCTCTTTCTACCAAATTTGCCATCGCCTTGTTGCAGGAGCCGGTGTGATCTCAGAAGATAGCAAAATTTCAGGGTTTCCTTTCATCTACTTCTGTTGCATGGAACTGACTGGCTTTCTATACTTCCACGTTTCCCCGAAAATAAGACCAAGTCTTATATTAATTTTTTGCTCCAAAAAATGCATTAGGGCTTATTTTCTGGTTAGGGCTTATTTTGGGGGGAAATACGGTACTAAATGAATCCATCTGGTTGACGATCTTAACTGGGGCTTATTTTGGGGGGTAGGGCTTATATTACGAGCATCCTGAAAAATCATGCTAGGGCTTATTTTCCGGTTGGATCTTATTTTCGGAGAAACAGGGTAGTATGAAGGAAATAACTCCTCTTACTGTTTTGGTTTTTTTTTTTTTTTTTTTTTTTTTTTTCCGTGGAAAATGAAAATAGTTTTTTTTTTTTTTTAAAAAAAAAAACTTTCCTTTTTTTCCTTCTCCCTTGAAGCAGGTGCCTCGCGTCTTCCCCGGCAAAAGGGGCTCCAGCTTAGGCCGATGGAGGATTCCGAAAACCAGACCGAGGTGATCTTGCTGGCGTGCGGCTCCTTCAACCCCATCACCAACATGCACCTTCGGCTTTTCGAATTGGCAAGAGATCACCTGCAGGAAACAGGTAAAACTGGGGGCTTCATTGAGAAGTTTCCTCCAGGTGCTTTGGACTACAATTCCCATTATCCCTAACCTGTCATGGCTGGATGACAAAACTTGTCATAGGATGTATCTAGAGAGGGGGAGAAATCCTGTGGATGTTCCTGAAGAGGAATCTGTTACCCATGAGTCTCATTTTCTGCCGCCTCTCGTTCAAAGGGAGGGCAGTTTGAGAATAGAATAGAATAGAATAGAATAGAATAGAATAGAATAGAATAGAATAGAATAGAATAGAATAGAATAGAATAGAATAGAATAGAATAGAATTCTTTATTGGCCAAGTGTGATTGGACACACAAGGAATTTGTCTTTGGTGCATACGCTCTCGGAGTACATAAAAGAAAAGATAACATTCGTCAAGAATCATAAGATACAACACTTAATGATAGTCATAGGGAACAAATAAGCAAACAAATAACTACAGAGCCCGTTGTAACTGCTGGTCTGCAACTCTTTCGGCTCTGGTGCTTTTCTTTCCTAATTTCTAAGGTGACTGTTTTTCACTCTTATGTGCCAGAAATGCATGACTAATAATGAGTAGGAATCACAGGTAGTTGCAGTGCATTGCTATATTTTTTACCCTCAGCAGCCTTCTCTCGCTCCCTTCCTCCCTTCTTTTATCTATCCTCCTCCCTCCCTCCCTCATTCACTCTTAAATGCCAGACTTCCTTCTTTCTTCCTTCCTTCCTCCCTCCCTCCCTCCCTCTTAACCTCCAGACTTCCTTCCTCCCTCCCTCCCTCCCTCCCTCCCTCCCTCCCTCCCTCCCTCTTAAACTCCAGACTTCCTTCCTTCCTTCCTTCCTTCCTTCCTCCCTCCCTCCCTCCCTCCCTCCCTCCCTCCTCTTATGCCATTTAAGGAACAACTTCTAACGCAAATTCCAAATTCAAATTCTAATCTTTATTGTTAGTGCACAATGAGATCGGTTGAGCTCCCTCAGTGCACCCCCCACCTCACCAACACCATACAACTCACAGTGAAGACAGAAAACCCCTAACCCAATAAATCATATTAACAAAACACCCAGTCCTATTGCACTTGCGTGAGCATGTTACACGTTGCGCCGGCCCTGCAGTCCATCATACTACATAGTTATGATGTTGATTTCTCGTTCAGGAGTCTGACAGCCCACGGATTAAAAACTGTTCTTCCGCCTGTTTGGGCGGCTGGCTATGCTTCCTGATGGTAGGAGGGTAAAGAAGTGGGTGACCAGGGTGAGAGTCGTCCCTGAGGATTTTCCTCACTCTTCTAAGGCAGTGAACCCATGCTTGTTAGATAGAATGCTGGTAATTTAAAGCAAGAAAGGAGAGATGGAAAAACGGGTCCATGATGACCTAGGGAGCTTTAACGCTAATATTTGGCGGACCGCCTACAGCCAGCAACAACATCCCATCGCCCGGTTCGCGCCCATAGAGAGGGCTTGCTCAGGGTGCCGTCGGCTAGACAGTGGCGGCTGGCGGCCCCCAGGAGTAGAGCCTTCTCGGTTGGGGCGCCCACCCTCTGGAATCAACTCCCCTTGGAGCTCCGACTAGCGCCCGACCTTCGCACCTTCCGCTGGGAATTAAAAACCTGCCTTTTCAAATCCCTTGACCTGGTCTGATGATGGGGTTTTAAGGATTTTAATGGGTTCATTTTAAATGTTTTAGATTTTAGTCTCTATTTTTATTGTGGCCGCCCTGAGTCCATTGTGAGATAGGGAGGCATATAAGCCGAATAAAATAAATAAATAAATAAATGGTGATTTAAAGCAGGCTTGTCTGATGCTGGTTGGGCCCTCCAACGACAGCAACACCCAGGTTTTTTTAATGTATCGGCTCCGGCAGGGAAATACAAAGTGGTCCGAGGGATCATTTCGCCTGTGGGGGACGCCTATCTGAAGAAGGGCCTGGTCAACGCCAGTCACCGGGTGGCCATGGCAAGACTCGCAGCGGAAAACTCGGACTGGCTGGAAGTCGACGACTGGGAAAGCAACCAAAAGGAGTGGCAAGAAACCATCCAAGTCCTCAGGTATTGGCCGGGACTGGGCATTTTTGCTCATCTTGCACGAAAGCCATGTTGTGGGCGTTCGTTCAGAGTTTCTCAGCCCATCATACCAGTAAAGCCTCAAGCCCAGTGTGTCTATTTTTAATAGACACCTGTGCAGTGGTGGGTTCCTCCCGGTTCGGTCCGGTTCAGCCGAGCCGGTAGCGGTGACGATATGACGTCACCGAACCGGTTCTCCCCCCCCGCCCTCCCACCCCCCCACGTTATTCTTACCTTTTATTTGGTCCCACCCCCAACCTATTGCTGCCTCCTGAGTCCCAGCTGATGACTAGAGGGAAAAAAAACTGTTTAAACTCTTGCCGTGGAGCTTCAAAGGGCTGCCCTACAGCTGATCAGTATTAAAAACAAACAAACGAGTCGGGTCATAAGTGCAAGGACTGGTCGTAAGTGCGAGGACCTTCCAGAAATGACTCTGACCAGCTAGCCACGCCTACCTAGTCACATGACCTCTGAGCCACACCCACAAAATAAGCCACGCCCACAGAACCAGTAGTAAAAAAATTTAGAACCCACCCCTGCACCTGTGGGACTGGATTGCAAGCAGTATTACAGAATAACAAGAGTCGGAAGGGACCTTGGAGGTCTTCTAGTCCAGCCCCCTGTTCAAACAGGAGACCCGATACCATTTCAGATAAATGGTACCATTTAAATGGATAAATACCATTTAAAAGACTACTATGTTGGAGCACCCACAAGTTCTGAAGGCAAGCTGTTCCACTGATTAACTGTCCTAAACATCAGGAAATTTCTCCTTTAGTTCTAGATTGCTTCTCTCCTTGATTAGTTTCCACCCATTGTTTCTTGTCTTGCCGTCTGGTGCTTTGGAAAATAGCTTGAACCCCCCCCCCCCCACTTCTCTGTGACAGCCTCTCAAATATTGGAAGACTGCTATCATGCCACCTTCTCTTCATTAGACTAGAGACATACCTAACAGCTTATATTATAGTTTATCAGTTTATATATACACCGATACAGGATACAATTTTCTCCCAGGCTTCTGTCCAGTATTGTGCCCCTAGATAAAACATGGGTTTAAATGATGAAAAGAACTTCAGTATTGCCATACTGATTAGATTAGATTAGATTAGATTAGATTAGATTAGATTAGATTAGAATTCTTTATTGGCCAAGTGTGACTGGACACACAAGGAATTTGTCTTTGGTGCATATGGCTCTCAGTGTACATAAAAAGACAAGATACATTCTTTTCATTTTCATTTCATGGAATCATTTAAGTCACACTGGAAGGAAAAGGTAGAACAGAACAGGACAGAACAGAACAGAATTCTTTATTGTTCAAGTGTGATTGGACACACAAGGAATTTGTCTTTGCTGCATATGCTCTCAGTGTACATAAAAAGACAAGATACATTCGTCAAGAATCATAAGGTACAACACTTAATGATAGTCATAGGGTACAAATAAGCAATCAAATCATACTAGGAAACAATCAATATAAATCGTAAGGATACAGCAACAAGTTACAGTCATACAGTCATAAGTGGGAGGAGATGGGTGATAGGAACCATGAGAAGATTAATAGTAGTGCAGATTTAGTGAATAGTTTGACAGTGTTGAGGGAATTATTTGATTAGCAGAGTGATGGCATTCTGGGAAAAAACTGTCCTTGTGTCTAGTTGTTCTGGTGTGCAGTGCTCTATAGCGTCGTGCAGTTACAGATTGTTCCGGTACTACTGCAGAGGTGGGTTTCAGCAGGTTCTGACTAGTTCTGGAGAACCGACAGCGGAAATTTTGAGTAGTTCGGAGAACCGGTAGTAAAAATTCTGACTGGCCCCGCCCCCATCTATTCTCTGCCTCCCGAGTCCCAGCTGATCGGGAGGAAATGGGGATTTTGCAGTATCCTTCCCCTGGAGTGGGGTGGGAACGGAGATTATACAGTATCCTTCCCTGCCATACCCACCAAGCAATGCCCACCAAGTCACACCCACAGAACCGATAGTAAAAATTCTGACTGGCCCCGCCCCCACCTATTCTTTGCCTCCCAAGTCCCAGCTTGATCGGGAGGAAATGGGGATTTTGCAGTAACCTTCCCCTGGATTGGGGAGGGAATGGAGTTTTTGCAGTATCCTTCCCCCAGAGTGGGGTGGGAATGGAGATTTTACAGTATTCTTCCCCTGCCATGCCCACCAAGCCACACCCACAGAACCCACGGTAGTAAAAAAAATTGAAACCCACCACTGTACTGCTGTGTATATTTACGAGTGTATCTTTTCTTCAATGCTGTTCTGTAGATATCATCACCAGAAGCTGAAGCATTCCTATTCTGCCAACAGTGTGGAAGATGCCCGTCTTCCAAACAGAACAACCCGGAAAAGAAAGAGGGCAGCTGTGAGCCAACTCCCTGTTAGAATGAATCAACCCAAACGAAAATGTGAGTTTTCTTTCTTTCTTTCTTTCTTTCTTTCTTTCTTTCTTTCTTTCTTTCTTTCTTTCTTTTTCTTTTCAAGAACCCTTTATTAAAATTTAAAATATGAAAATACTAATACAAATACGCCTGTAACAAAAATACGTCCATGATAGTTGTGCAATTCAACGTCGTTCCAACAGTACCCAAATCTTAACTCTCTTCGTATATTCTCAGATATTCCTTCTTGATCGAAGATACGTAAACACAATTTATGTCTTATTTGGATCTATGGGATCTCCCTTGGGAGTTGGGCGGCATAGAAATGCGACAAAGTAAACAAATATATATTTCCTATTTTTATTTTCTATCCATGGATACCGGTAAATAACAAGGAAGATTCGGAATATTACTCAACCTGGGAAAACTGGTATCAGTGAATTCTCTTTCTAAATCCCAGGACATTTAGAGCAGGGGTGTCCAACCTGGTTGACGTTAAGACCTGTGGACTTCAACTCCCAGAATTCCCATGGCTGGCTGGGGAATTCTGGAAGTTGAAGTCCACAGATCTTAAAGTCAACAAGATGGAACACCCCTGATTTAGACTTAGGAGGCAACTTAGTTCAGCCTTTTCCTCTATTCACGATCTTCAAGCGGCAGCGTACGTCCTCCCTCTAAATGGCTGGTTAACTTCTGCTTGATATTCCCAGCCAGCTCCTTACCCTCCAATCCTCTTCATAACCAAATACCCAACAGCTTATCTTTCCAAAGGTGCCCCTTGGAATCCTGAACTAGATTAATTTTAAAATGACAGGATCATTTAAATACTCTGGCTGTTCATTTGAATGCAACGCTTGCTGCATTTTGCATCTCCAGAGTTCATCTTGACACAGTCAAGCAGGGTGGATTTGATTTAAATCGAGTTGATTTAAATCACAATTTAAATCATGATTTAAATCACTAGTAAAAAGGCTTGATTTAAATCAACTCGATTTAAATCATAATTTTTAAAGAGCAACTGTCATCTCTGCTACTCCTTTGACCCACTCTTGACTCACCGATAGTCGCAGTGTTGCAGAATATACAGCCTCCTGCTACATAACTAAGCTCCATTTCATGCTGAATAAACTGAATTATTTATGTATCTTAAATAGAAAACTATCTTACGATAGATTTTTACCCCAAAAGTTTTTTATTAAAATAAATTTGATAAAAATCAAAAAAATCCGATTTAAATTAAAAAAATCTGATTTTTTTGATTTTTAAAAAAAAATCATTGATTTTTATCCACCCTGCAATCAAGTGTGCCAGAGATGGTTTGAAAATGTTTTCACTACCCTGGGCTGACAATGCTTTCAACTAAACCAAACCAAACCGAACCGAACCGAACCGAACCGAACCGAACCAAACCAAACCAAACCAAACCAAACCAAACCAAACCAAACCAAACCAAACTCTTTCCTGAAGCTGAACCTACCATCAATGTTGGCCAAGCTGGTCTGGTGGCCGGCACTTATAGCAATGATTTATTTTCTTTCTTTATTAAATTTACCGTATTTTTGGAGTATAAGACACACATTTTCCCCCCCTAAAAGAGGGTGAAAATTTGGGTGCGTCTTATACACCAAATGTAGCCCCGCCCACCCGCCGGCCCCCACCCTTCGGCCTCCGTGCATCCTCTCAAACGGAGCTTTCGGAGTGTGAAAAAGCAAGACGCAGAGGCCAAAATGTCAACCCGGAACAACTGCTCCCTTGCGACAATAAGCTGCATTTTTGAAGCTGCCCATCTGCCCCAGGGACACAGTGGCTCAGTGGCTAAGACGCTGAGCTTGTCAATCGAAAGATCGGCTGTTCAGCGGTTCGAATCCCTAAGTGCCGCGTAACGGGGGTGAGCTCCCATGACTTGTCCCAGCTTCTGCCAACCTAGCAGTTCGAAAGCAGATAAAAAATGCAAGTAGAAAAAATAGGGGCCACCTTTGGTGGGAAGGTCACAGCTTTCCGTGCGCCTTTGGCGTTGAGTCATGCCGGCCACATGACCACGAAGACATCTTCGGACAGCGCTGGCTCTTCGGCTTTGAAACGGAGATGAGCACTGCCCCCTAGAGTCGGGAACGACTAGCACATATGTGCGAGGGGAACCTTTAACCTTTTATCTGCTCCAACAAGGCCGATGCGCATTCACAACCAGCGAAACTGTTGCTAAAGTGCACCTCTGGGAACAGCTGATTGGGGGTATTCCAGGAGGCTGATCCACCCGCCAATCAGCTGCTCCTGCTGAATCAGGCTCATGTGCTGAAGCTCACCAGGCTGTTTGGTAAGGACGCTAGCCAGATGAATACCGATGGATGCTGGTAGGCAGAGGCAGTATTTTTTTTTTCCTTCTTATTTTTCTCCCCCAAAACTAAGGTGCGTCTTATATTCCGGAGCATCTTATACTCTGAAAAATACGGTATACGCCCCTCATCTCCAGTTCGAGGAAACCCTGCATCATCAGCGGATGGTGTTCCTCATTTATTGCTGCAGAATTTCAACCTTTGGGAAGCAAAATGTTGCTGGTTTTCCTGCCTGGTGCTCTACTATTGTTGTGGCTCCGTTACCTGAGCCTGTGTCATCGGCAGGAGAGGACTCCGAGAGTGAAGGAGAGGAGTTGGCAAGGCCTCCCTCTTCAGGACCCTCCTCTCTGGCAATGCCTTCGGTGTCCGCCAAAGGGCAAGAGATAGGGCCGGGGCCAAGCATGTCCACGCAGTCACAGGTGGACAGTGATGAGGGAGATGAGTCTTGGCTGGATCCTCGGCAGCGTCGCAGAGATAAGCGCGCGCAACAGAAGAAAAGGCGTGCCAGAGATTAGGCTGAGTCACTGGACCACCCCACAGGGTGTAAAAGGGGGTGAGATGGCCATTCAGACTCTGTGACGGACAAAAGTAACTACAATCGAGTCACATTGCATCTTTGGAAACAACATTATCGGCCTTGGATTTATTTTACGAACTGGACAATTCTTGACTGTGTGTATTTTGTTTATTGAGTAAAGTTATTGGCAAGCAGCTACTGGGTTGCTGCCAAGCTTCTTATCGGAAGAATTGGTTGTCTGCCAGTTTATTTAATCCCCAGCTGTCTGTTTGTGTGCGTTTGTGGGACGGGGACAGAACAACTATCCAACTTCCTTCCCTATGTGTCCTGTCTCCTCCAGGCCTCCCCCAGCTGAAGATTCTGTGTGGAACAGATGTTCTGGAATCCTTCGCAGTGCCCAATCTCTGGAAGCCGGAAGATATCCAGGAAATCGTTTCGAAGCATGGCATGGTTTGCGTTACCAGGCTGGGGAACCACGCCCAGAAGTTCATCTACGAGTCGGACACGCTGTGGAAGCACAAGGAGAACATTGACCTGGTGGAGGAGTGGATCACCAACGACATCTCGGCCACCAAGATACGGAGAGCCCTCAGGAGGGGCCAGAGCATACGGTACCTGGTGCCTGACTCCGTCCAGTCCTACATCAAGCAGCACAATCTGTACACCGCAGAAACCGAAGACCAGAACGCAGGGGTCATTTTGGCTCCTTTGCAGAGATACGCGCAGGAGCCCGTCAAAGATTGATTGGCACAAGGATGGAGTGGGGAGAGAGCAGGAATAGGGGGCAGCTTGGCAAGCTGGCTGCGGTTTTAGCTGCTGTCTCCCACCTGGTGGAATCCCATTGCATGCCCGGTTTGAATTTTGCAAAGTGACCAGCTTACCAGCCCAAATAACCACAGATTCCTGGTTTGTTTTGTGACTTGCAGAAAACTGGTGAACTCAACACTGAGCTTCTGCAAATGAAATAAAGAGGTTTATGGAGTGACAGCAAAGCCCATTTGGCAAGTAGCTCTGGTTTCAACCAGAACTGGTGCCTCTGGGAAGCCACAGATACGGCTCGGCTTTGAATCGATGGCTGACACCACTGCGCGGCGGTTTGTACGTGAGCCTGAGGCCTGCTTCTCATTTCTTAGCCCCGATGATGTCCTGTTTTTTTAGCCCTTGCTCCAGTTTTGGGAGGCAGTGAGAGACGGGGGCTCCGCAAAGAAGTGGAGGGGTGCTATTAAATGGGCCAGATTTTCTTTCCCTAAAAATGAATTTACGTGAAGGCCTATATCAGTGATGGCGAACCTTTTTGGCACCAAGGGCCCAAACCGGAATGCGCGTGAATGTACGAGCGTCAGAGTGCCGGAAATCCGAAGACCAGCTGGCCGGTGCACGTTTGCATAATGGAAAACCGAAGACCAGCTGTTTGGTGCATGCATGCCTGTTTTTTTGCCGTTTTCCAGGCCATTTTGGGGGGGGGCGTTTTCAGGTTGTTTTAGGCCGTTTTCGGGCCATTTTTCGGGTCGTTTTCAGGTCATTTTTGGGCTGTTTTCAGGCCTTTTTTGGGCTGAAAACGGCCCAGAAATGGCGTGAAAACGGCCCCAAAACAGCCATTTTTTGGGCCATTTTCTGGTGCTCTAGCACCTGCAGATACCAGCTGTCCGGCACGCCGGAAACCAAGAGCAGCTGGCAAAGGCTCTTGTGCCCACAGAGAGGGCTCAGCGTGCCACTTCTGGCACTCGTGCCATTAGGTTCGCCATCATGGGCCTATATCTTTAGATAATTTTTTTTTTTTTTAACTCTGATGAGTCCTACCTCGCCCGGCTTTCTTAGTACCGCAGTCTGGCTCACTTGAAATAACACTGTTCAGGATCTGGGGGGGCTGATCCCACCTTAAGTGCCTCGTCGATGAAACCCACTGAAGTACTTTCTCAGTTGCAAATATGAGCCATCGTTGTTAAACCGTGTGGACATTTCAAACCAACTGTGTCTGCTAAAATGACCTCAGAATGTAACTTTCTAAAATGCTGGATCATTGAACAGTTTACTTTAGACGTGCTGGATGGTTCGTACGCCTACATCAAAAAAAAAAAACCCAAACACACCCTCTCCCACGCAGATAACAAATGCTTGGCAAACCTTCACGATGGCATACTACCGTGTTTCCCCAAAAATAAGACCCTGTCTTATATTTTTTTGAACTCCCGAAATAAGCGCTTGGCCTTATTTTCGGGGAGGTCTTATTATTTTGGGGCGCGTGAAGCAAGACGGAGCTCCTCTTGCTGTCTTACCTGATTTCCATCTCTGTCTCCCTAACCCTAACCAGAGGAAATGGCGGCGACCGGTTAAATATTTTCGGGGATGGCTTATTTTCAGGAGATGTCTTATTTTTGGGGAAACGGTAGTTTTCTACAAGCATGGATTTTTTATTTTTATTTTTTTGAAATTGTGGTTAGAGCATCCAATCATGTAAGCCACGCAGACTGATCATGTCGAGGGGTTTATTTTGGCCATCAGGAAGGTAAAACTCCTTTGCGGCCCAAAGGAGGTCTATCCTGCGTGGCCAGTGGCAGACCACAGTTGTTTCAGATCTCTGTAAACTCCTGAACCTGGTTTGTCTTCCGTGGTTTCCACTTAGCAGCTCATTGTGTGTGTGTGTATGTGTGTGTGTATGTATATATATATATATATATATATATATATATATATATATATATATATATATATATATATATATATATATATATGCATATTCTTTCTAGCCAGGTTTTACCTACGTAAGCTAAGATGTTCTACAGCCCTGGTTCTGTGAAATCTCATTCACAAGTTTCTGGGCTTTTTATTTCTAGCTGACAAACAGCAACTCTGTGCTGTTCTCTGGGAGACTCAGATAGCTATTTCTGCCTTATAAGGCATCATCAGTGAGCCACACCCTCTTCTCAGGTATCTTAGCTTACGTAGGTAAAACCTGGCTAGAAAGAATATGCACATAAAAGCCTACGAAAAAGAAAAAGACACACATATATATACATACATACATACATACATACATACATACATACATATACCAGGATTTTTTTCATCCCCTAAATCAGTGTTTTTCAAACTTGGCCATCTTTAAGACGGGCGGACTTCAACTCCCAGAATCCCCCAGACCACGTGATTGGCTGGGGAATTCTGGGAATTGAAGTCCACTCATCATAAAAGTTGTCAAGTCTAGAAAACACCGCCCTATTTGGATCGAGTCGGAACTGTTGATTCAAGAGTAAGAAACGAGCCATAAATTTTGCGGCTCAAATTTCTGCCCCAGCAGGAATGAGCCAATTTGAAACATTTTTTTTTTAAAAATTCAGCTGTGTAACATGAATTTAAAAAAAAATAATAATAATACTGGAAATAGGGGAAAGGGGAAAAGAGAAGTTACAGGAAATAAAGAAAACCCAAACTCGGCTATGATGATTGAAAGTTGATTCCGGACAGTGACATATTCTGTTTAGTGTGGGAAAAAATATACATGCTGGAATAAGAAATACCCTTATAAAAATCTTCCCTCATCAATGTTGTTATTTCTGATTTTTTCCTCTTTATTTACAAGTTACATATGATACGATGTTTGTGTGTGCTTATATGACATTTTCCTTTGAAATATTTGATTTTTTTTTCGTATTTTAGCTGTTAACAAAAAAAAAAGAGAGTCCTTCACGCACATGGTTTTTAACCGCAGAATTGCACTTTGCTTCCCTCTACACAACCTACCCTTAAAAATCATAATGCTGTTGTAAAAATGTGTGTGTGTGTGTACTTTAAATCCTGGGCTTGATAATAGACTCATAATGTGAATGAACCACAAAATCAACACATACCCTTCTCTGTAATGTGGATGGGGGAAAATAATACTAATAAATGTGGTGAAATGTTAATCAGAAATCGAATCAGCGTTGTCATTTTCTGCAGGGATTGCGAAGAGGTCCATAGCTTAGGGCCGACCCCAAACATTTTACTTGGGTCAAAATAACTTTGAAAACCGACCTTGGGGGAGGTTGGATCTCATTTCAGTTTTAATTCTGCGAAGAGCAAAGGTGGTTTGATCGAGCGAGCCTTCCAATAAAAAGAAAACTATTCTAGCACTGTGGAAGAACTGCTTCTCATACACTTTTTGGGGTGCAGGAGGTAGCCCTCGGCTTACAACACCTAAGTGACCGTTACAACAGCACAGAAAAAAAAAGAGACTTATGACCATTTTTCACACTTACGACCGTTGCAACATCGCCATGATCCCACGGTCAAAATTCAGACACTTGGCATCAACCACGTTACTAATTTAACTGCAGCGGTTCACTTAACCACTGTGGCAAGAAAGGTCGTAAAACGGGGGCAGAGCTCCCTTAACAGCTGTCTCGCTTAGCAACAGAAATGTTGGGCTCCATTCTGAGCGTCGGTCGAGGACTAGCTGTAAAGATTTTTCCCTAATGCTGACACCAAAATCACTGAATCCCAATTTCTCTTAGATCAAATGAACGAAGCCAGCTGTGATTGATAAAAAAAAAGCTTTGTAGCATCCTGTGTGAGGCAGGCATACAATTATGATAGATGTGATAAATTGTGGCTATGTCCGAGATCAGTTTCTGTTCCTCTCTCGATCAGGGGTGTGTTTGGACTCATATTGTAGTTAGAAAGAGCTGGTAGCTCTTGGAGGGCAGTTAAAACTTGATTAAATGCCTAGCATGAGCTCCTGAAAGAGAGCAGACGGTGCGGTGCCACCCGATTGTTCACTTTGGGTTAACGGGTGAGATTCAGCCAGTTCGTACTGATTCGGGCAAACCGGATGCTACTTTTACATCTGGTTCGCTGAACCGGTAGTTGCAAGGACTGGCTGGCCCCGTCTCCACGCAGCCCATTTTAGATGCAAGGTAAGTGCAGGGCCTTCACGGAGGCTCTGGGATAGCAAAAAACAGGCCTATGCACCCGTTTCCTGCCTCCAAAGGGCCTCCGGAGCCCAGGGGAGGCCGTTTTCACCCTCCCGGAGGCTCAAGAAAAGCCTCTGGAGCTGGGGGAGGGTAAAACCCCCAACCCTACCATGGTGCAGGAGGCCAAGTAGGTCACGTCTCCATGGCCACACCGGGCAGAGAACCTGGTTGCTAAAATTTTCCATTCCCACCCCTGAGTTTAGGATAGAGAGCTCAGTCTTGAAAGAAAGATGGAGGAAGATTAACACCGTGGGGTGGGAGAGAACATGGAAACAAGAAAGACAAGAGAGCAATTTGGGTTGGCAGCCCCGGGAAGGAGGGGAGTTGCAGAACTGTGGTTAGAGTTCACTGAGCACAAAGTATTTTTGCAGATGTTTCCAGACCCTCCAGAACAATATAAAGAGACGGGGAACATGCTTAATGAGAGGAAATCTCTTTTACGTCCACAGATTTAAAAATCTCTGGGGAGAGAGAGAGAGAGAGAGAGAAACATAACAAAGTTTGGCAGCCGTGCATTCCCGAGCAGAGGTTAGCGGTTGCGTGTTGCATCATCCCCATTTATGCAACAAAATTGAGTTACGATGCACAGTGTGTAGAAGGTCACCTTGACCTCTGTCCTTGATAATTGCTTTATGAAGTCCAGCGACCTCTTTCTCACTGTATCTTTGGGAAGCCTCTAATCCAGTGCTGCAAACAGCAAAGGACTGGACCCGCGGCCCTCCCAAGTTCCATTTTCACTGGCAGAGGGTTGCAGGAGGTCGTCGCAGCCGAAAACGGAGCTCGCAAGGGCCGCGTGCAGCTCTCCCGAGCTCCGTTTTTGCTGGCAGAGGGTTGCAGGAGGCTGTCGCAGCCAAAAACGGATATCGCAAGGGCCGTATGCAGCTCTCCCGAGCTCTGTTTTTGCTGGTGGAGGGTTGCAGGAGGTTGTTGCCACCAAAAACGGCTTGGGAGCCCGTTTTTACTGGGAGACCCCTCGGGCACCACAGGCGCCCCTGGCACAAGTGACGTTGAGCTGACCATGCCCACCCTGGCCATGCCCCCCCGAGGTCAAACACAACCCTGATGCGGCCCTCAATTATATCGAGTTTGACACCCCTGCTGTCAGGGTTCCGACGGATGCCCTAATTAAATCATGAGCCTTGAGCCAAGCTTCAAAAGAAATCCAGTTATTTATTAGGAGCTTCGTGTCGGCTCATTCCCAAATGAAGCCAACTGACCCTGTTTCCCCCCTCCCCCCAGGGTGTGTCATCAATCACATTCGCCAATGGAGCAATTTCGCGGGTTGTAGAGATCACTCCCCTCCGGGCCGCTGTGGGTAACCCTGGGAGACAGCCTTGAGAAAAATATGTCTGGAATGTGCTCCTGTCTTTGGCTGCCTTACTGCTTCGTCAGTTTCCCATTCCCCTTGCCTATGGCAACTCGAGAGCAGGCCAGGGATGCTTTGCAAGTTGACACCTGCTCTAACCAGTATGAATGTGGGAACTGATTCTCTTACCCTCTTATAAAATAGCCCTACACAGATGGACGCTTAGAGATATATTGCTACCGAACTAACGGTTTCTTTCCCAAATAATCTTCCTAATAAGAATGGACGGAGGAGGTTCGCTAAGCTGGATCAAAGTCTACTCAAGCCATTTGATGTCACCTCCAGTCTGATCTTTGGGGGTTTCCAAGAATTTTTCATGACTGGGTGCCCTCTTTGGCAGGGAAGTCAGGGTCCCTTGAAATATATGTCTTCCTATCAGATTGTGCCAGGGAATTAATCTTCACACACCGGTCTTACACGCTTACCACACTGCACAATTCTTTTTGTGTGCT